GAACTAGAATTCTAAATAAATATGCTATATAGCAGCAATTCTTAATTTTTTTCCCTTTCGAAAATGAAACTTTGAATGGCGGACCATCTTTCAACGGCACCCCAAACTTAAAAACAAAGCATATTAAGACAACTGTGAACGTATTAACAAATAAAATACTACATTACTTCGAAACAAAATTATTTATTATGTAAAGGGAATGAAATTTTTTCTCGTTTAACCCATTAGTAATCCTAAATTATGTTTTATGTCCGACTATTGAATTCGCAGTCCAGGAACTAAATGTAGACTAGTTATGAATTTGTATTTGGTTTATTTACATAGGCTGAAAATGAAAGAAATAAGCCTAATTATAATTTTCGTTGAAATGAAGACTAACACAAAGTGCAATTAAGGTAGAAAATGGTTAATAGGGAAGCAAATTTCTTTATTAACGAATTTAGTTATTTTATTTTGTAAAGCGTAATTGAAAATACTAGTGCAGTTTTTTAAGGCTTGTCTCTTTTGTAATTTATTCAAAACGTTGCTATTAGAAAAATTATACTTTCTTAAAAAATTAATTTTCTTTCTTGCCATTTTTTTCCCATTGACACTTTATTTGAAGAAATTTCGTTATTAAAAATTTCTAAATACTAACTAAATTATGGATTATTGATTTTGTTTCAATGTAATTAATTACAGGTTTCAAAAATGTTACTAAAAAAACTGTTTAAAAAAATCCTAACTCTCCGAACTCCTTTAACTTTTCGAAGGAACAATGGATTTCGGCGGAACACCATTTGGTTACCCCTGCTATTTAGAATGAATAATTTAAATTACTCCCCACCTGTCTTAATTAAACGCGAAATACCACAAAAAACAACAACAAAAAAACCTAGGTTAAAATAAAAATTCTCTTTTCCCTTATCAACTTGTAGATACCCGGGAAAAAAATACGATTCTAATTCGGGTTTTAGTTCTAGTTCTTACTATTTACAATCATATACATTGCAACTAGCAAGAAATATAATTCCTATTCTCGAAGGCCCCAGAATAGCTTTGTTGGCATGCAGCTGATTATCTTTTAGCAATTCTATTTCATTCAAATCCAAATTAAGTGAAATGATGTAATACATTAAGTGATTAAATATCTGAAAAAAGTTTTTAAATGTTTTTACACATTACAAAAAAGGTCAGAGCGCTTTTTGGAAATATTCATATGTCACATATTTATATTATTCAGGTTACACCATCCATTTCAGGTTACACCATCAGGTTACACCATTATGTAGGCAATATAATGTTTCTCGAATTGTATTCTTATCTTGTAAAAATTTAAGGAAGCTTTTAATGTACCTATCGGAAAACAATATACGGAGCAATATGATGCAAAATTTTCGCCCCTGGAAAATCAAATCACAGACATTCATAAGTTATTATATATATATATATATATATATATANATATATACAGTCGAACTTCTATATTACGAACTTCCATTTTGCGAATTTCTCTATTTTGTGATTTTTTACGAGGAACCAAGAACATTTTGGAAATTTCTTTGTAAAATAACTTCCAAATAGCGAAGTGAATTTTCTATTAAGCGAACTTTTCTTTAAGACCCTCTTTCCCTATTTCCCAAAATATTCCAGAAAATTTCTAATTCGCTAATGCATTTTATGGGGGAAATGATTTTGAATTGATTTTCGAAATCACTTAATTTTTAGAAAAATTAGTGAAATCCCTTTTCTGTTTCCTGGAGCAAAACTAACGGATTTTATCAGTAGCAATTTAACTTAAGAACACATGCGGTAATATATGTTTGAAATTATTTTTATAGCAAAAGAAACTATAATTTTGGCTTTTTTTTAGTTCAAAAGATTTCTTTTATGATTAAGATTTATAAAATAAATATTTGATACTAGTATACAAGATAAAGGTGGATCCATTGCTGTTTTAATCATGTCTACAGTTAATGAATTTAAAACTTCTTTTGCGTTGTTTAAGTATTTCAAAAGGTGATTTTCTATTTAACGAATTTTCCATATAACGAACTTATTATCGGGATTTAGTGACTTCGTTAAATAGAAGTCCAAGTGTATATATATATATATTTCCTAATTGTTGACAGGTATGGTTCCAGAACAGGAGGGCCAAGTGGCGGAAGACGGAGAAGTGTTGGGGAAAGAGTACAATAATGGCAGAGTACGGCCTGTACGGTGCAATGGTCAGGCACTCCCTCCCACTGCCTGAGTCCATTCTGAAGAGCGCCAAAGACGGTGACGTCAATTCCTGTGCACCCTGGCTTCTTGGTAGGATATTATCACTTCTTCTCCATTCTATCCAACACAACGCAAAAGTTCAAACATTAAACTTTATAAAAGCATCAAATGTGTTAAAGCTCTTTTATAAAATGAGAGCAGCATGTTTGATTCATGATTGGAAACACGCAATAATGCATAATATTGTAAGTTATGTATTATTATTATTTAAGTTATGCTCTAGTATCGTTGAGTAAGATAAAATATTAGGGACAAAATTCATGATACAAAACATTAAAATTTAGTGCATCTGCTATATATATATGTGTATAAATACAAAAAAACACGACGAAAGTTAAGAAAAACAATAAGTTTCAATTATTGCGCTTAAGCTGCAAGTAAACAGAACTCATTAGATAAGTTCAAAATGAAGATAAAACAATGAAAAATTATAGACATATGAAAAGAAGGGGGGGGGGAAATAATAAGTAAAAAAATAACAAACAACAGTTTAAGGAAAAAAAACGGGATGAAATTTGAATGCTTTTCACACTATTGTATTAATATATTTTGCTTTGGCTTTATTGATACAATATCAGAAAGCACTCTGTTTTGCGGATATAATCGTGTGGGCTGAAGAAAAGATTATATCTTTTTTTTCCGGTTTTTTTTCTAAAATTTCATTTTTTTTTAAATATATATTTATATAAACTATTGTTTGTTATTTTTTTACTTATTATTTCCCACCCCCTTTTTTTCATATGTCTATAATTTTTCTTTGTTTTATTCTTCATTTTGAACTTATCTAATGAGTGCTGTTTACTTGCAGCTTAAGCGCAATAAATGATACTTATTGTTTTTCTTAACTTTCTTAGTGTTTTCTTGTATTTATTTATTTATTATATATATATATATATATATATATATATAATGTGTTCTATTTTGCTTCAAGAAGAAGAAAAATTTAAGTGCTCCTCACACTATTGTACTGATATATTTTGCTTTTACTAAATTGATACAATGTTAGAAAGCACTTCTTTTTTGCGGATAATGATGAACAGATTGTATCTGTTTTCCCCCGGAATTTTATTTATTTATTTTTTTATTCTTTTTCGTTAGTATTTTATTTTAATAATTTTNTTTCTTTTTTTTTTTTTTTTCATTGTCATCTTATTTTATTTTAATGATTTTTCTTCTTATACTACATATTTGTGGATAAATCAGACAGTCAAAAATATTATTTTAATTTATATTTTTTGTGGGTATAAATCGAATTTTTAAAGAGCCTAGTTAGTATGATCCTCTTAAATAGGATGTTTTAATGTTTAAAATAACAAAACATTTTACTGACATCGAATCCTAGATGTTTTCAGTTCGCTTATTTTTCTCAAGAATTACTTAACCGATATGTTTTTTTTTCTTTTTTTCATATTGTTTAGAATTTTATTCTGTATGGGACTACGTAAGATTTTTTTCTTTTTGTATATTCTAGTTTAAAGATATTTTAAGATCTTTTTATGCTGTTTTTAAACAATAACAAATTCATAATAAAAATTCGATAAAATCTTACACGTTAAACTGTTATAGCTTTCCAAGAATTTTTCTATTTTAATTACATGCTTAGGAATGCTAGATGCAAGCGGTCACTTGAATCAAAAAGCTTCACAGTGCTGAATTAAATAGATGATTTTTTATTAAATGGAAAGAAAAGTATAGATTATAGAAAGAGCATTTTTTAATTCTGTTTTTAATTTTCAAAGTGAATAATTTTCGTTTTATAATACTAAAATTATTAAATACACAAGTGGGCGACCTTTGTGCTAAAATACGAACATAAGTGCTTTGTGCTAAAATACAAACACTGTTTGTACTAAAATTATTTTAGAAGATTCAGAATTGTTTTAAGGACTAATTCGTACATACATACAAATTTCCATTAGATTGGAAGACAACAAGACAGAGTAAAGATAAACTTTTAAAAAAATTATAATAGTTCCACAAATTTCAGAAAAAAATAATTTTTTTTTAATTTAAGATAGTTACTTTTCCGTAAATAATTAAAATTTTGAAACAAATTTATCTTTTAGATAAACAAATAAAATTATTTAAACAAGACAAGATGTCATTTCAAGATGTTCAATCGATGAAAGAAACAAAAATTTATAACACTATTTATTTAAAAAAAAAAAAAAAATTATTTTTTATTTTAAAGCAATCTCAATCAATCTTTTTTATTTATTTACATTTTGTCTAAAACAATTTACTTTTCTTATTTTTCAAAAATTTTGAATTCACTATGAAAATTGAGTGTTTGTTTCATTAATAGAGATATTGCACTGTTTAGACCATAATAAAACATCATGTAAACGACGTTAGAAAAGCTTGACAAATGGCAGAATTTTATGTCTTTCGTCTTTATGTATAATGTTATAGAATGATCTGGAATTCCGCATTAAATTGCGAATCATTCAATACGAATACGAATTGACTAATGAATTTCTTTCTTTTTTCCTCCTTTTTTTGGCAGTGTTTCATCTTCATAAAATAGCGCGAGGTCACTTATGAAATTTTTTTATTTTAAATTAATATTCTTTTTAATAAGCAAAAATAATTTGAATGAGAATTAGTAAATTACGACACATTATTTATTAGATAAAAGAAAATTTATTTTCACATTTCTACTGGTTCGCATGAATCGCACCTGCGCAGAAATCGAAAATTCGTCTGCTCGTGGTTACGTCGTCGGTGAATGCTAGATCTAGTCACCGCGACGCCGGTCTTTGCTTCTTCGGAACCTCCCTCGGTCGCTCTCCGCCGGAAGAAAAGAAACAACATCGCTGCGCTGTAAAACCCGTACTCCGCATTTAGTACACGTACTTATCCCGGCTCGGACTCCACGTGAACAGCTGGTAGATTATAGACCTACATAATTTTGCAAGTATACTTCGGCAACGATTAGTAATTTTGTACTTTATAAATTTTACTTTAGAAGTATGCAAATTTTTAGCCTTATCGAATCAACATCGTCTGCTTCAAACGTAGTCACCTCTTACGTTTACTGCTTTTAGGTTATAAAAGGAGCTGTGATTAGTTAGCATTAATTGGATGATATTGTTTTTACTGCGGTTTTATTCAGCCGCTTATTTATACATTACTTAAGTTTCAGTGATATTTATTTTTAATCTATTTACATTGTTATCTAAAGAGTTATTTATCGACGTTTTAAGAGAGTTGTCGGCGTTTCCGTCGGAAGATGGTTTCCATGAATAATGTAAGTTATTTGTATCACTTCAATAACAATTAAATTATACTTTACCCATTATATAGTGTATTAATTCATTCTTTTGAACAAGTTTCTTAACTATAATTTGGAATAAACAATGTAACATCACGTGGTGTGTTAACGCCCAACTGTACGCATTAAGTGCTTCGCACGTGTTTTTATTAACTGAGAATTTATTACTTCCTTATAACGAATTAATTAATCATTATTTATCATACACATTTGTTATGAGTAGATTCCTTGTTTATTTAGGGGCAAAAAACCAAAATTGAAATTTCGGTATTGATTACTGATGTAAGTGTTGGTAACAATAAATTAAAAGAGAAAATATCCTTATTTTTAATATGTGAATTTTAGCTTAAAGTTCTACTTGTAATTATAATTGTATTGATATGCACTAATTAATTTTCTAGTTTTTCTTTTTAAAGTAAAAGTTTGTCTGTGCAGTTTCGCTTTTGTTTTTGATATTTAAGAAGCTATCAAATTGCTTCCTTTAGCTGCTTTAACTGACGTGGCTATTCTTAAAATTGTCTTGTAATTTAAGTTTTAAAATTTAAAACTTTTCGAACAGTTATCGGTGCATTAATATGGTATTGGGCGTTTTGCCAAGTGGGTGGGTGGAATGTAGATTAAAATTACGCCAGTCTTACGCCGGCTATTTAAATTTCTTCCTTGTCTTTAATTTTAAGAAACTATTATCTATTTAATGCAAACTCTTATGTATGCTTCCAATTTCCTTCCTAGCAAATGGTGTAGTTGCAAAATTTTCAGTTTATTTATATGATGGAACTATTTACGTAATTAACCATTAAATAAAAGTAATGCTTTCATTCTAACAATAGTATTGTCACATTTATTGTTTATCTAAATTTATAATAGATAATTATATTCGCTACTGCCTTTTGCAGCTGTTATTTGATACTGAAAAGAATATTTAAAAAAGCCATTATTAGTTGTGAAAAATTTTGATAAATAGAAACAATATATTTATTTAAAACAAATTTAACATTCTTAGGTTATAAATTTCTCACCAGTCCTTATGACTTATTGTGTAATGAATGAATTTTGATTTGTAACTTTTTTTAAATTTAAAAGTAATAAACTATGGAGCTATTAGATTTAATATTCCTATTTAGAATTAATCTTTTCTGATATTAAATATGTTTTTCAGCCTCAGTATTTCAATATGTCTGAGATAGATGAACGATACTACCAGAATGATTTTTCAAAAAATGACTTGTTTCAACGTTTGAATGCTGTATTAGATAATTCAGTTGATACTGGAACTAATTCTCTGAACAGAAAAACAAATCAAGGTATTTTCATGAAATTTCTTTTATCCAAAACTTATGCAATATTTTTAGTCTTTAAAAAATTACTTTTAATTTTAATGGTATGTTCATGTTTTATTTCTAGCTCATGGGTAATGAAAAATTGATAAAAACTTCATTGCAATTCAATATTAGTCTTTGTTCTTGTAAAATACTTTCTGTTTACAATAATAAATACACTAAGCTTCCTAATTATATTTTATTTTAAATATTTATATTAATCTTAACTAAACTTCATTTAAGTACAATAATTTACATTTTATCTGTTAAATTATCCAACAATGTTCTTAATAAAATTGAATTTAATATTTGGTTATAAAAAATTACTTGGTTATGAGAAACTAATGGCTGCACAATAAGCAATTTGTAACTCTTCAAAAGTATTCAAGGATATTTGCTTTTAAGTTGTGATAAACCAAAACTTTCCCTTTCTAAACCTTTATGATTGTAATCTTTATATTTTTTTAAACTTTAGTGGAACAAGTTTTTAATGTTTAAAACTAATCAAACTGAAAATCTTGGTTAAATAATAATTATGTTAAATAATTAAAAACTAGATTTGAAGAATAAATAAATATTTGTGGTTTCTTAAACTTTTTGATGGATGGTTTTGTTTTCAAAAAAAAAATAAATCAGAATTTAATATTCTGAAAGCTTGATTTTGAAGGTCTACAAAACACTTTAGACCATAGCACCTGTTAAATATATTTAGTGCTGTAAAAATGCTATGAAGCAGCTTATATATATATATTTTTTCCTCTCATGGGTTGCATGAATTTTTTTAACTGAATTTAGATTTTTAATGTTTATTTGAATTCTGCAATCTGTTTTATTCTTAAACTGAGTATCTTAAATGACTTTTAGATTAATTTTTGTCAAAATGTCAAAGCTTAACATTATCACACTCACTGTGATAATGTTTTAAGCTTTTATCTTCTATAAATGTTGGGATAAATTTGTGGAAGAGTTGTGTTTCATCATCAAAATTAGAGTTGCTTAGGAACCCATGCTCAAAAATGTCTTAATTTGTCATAATGAGCGTTTTCCTATTATGAACAGTTTCTTCATGTTTCTAAACAGCTCTTAAGTTGCCTGTGATGTAAATTCCAAACACAGGTTCTTGTGCAGTTTTACTCCTAGAAGTTTATCACAACATTTATGACCTTCTATGCATAACATTTTTAAGCTTGAACTGTTTGCCAAAAGTGACTAAAAATTTTAATTTTTTGGCATGCTACTAAAATTAGAGATATTTAATCTTAAATTTGAAATTCCCACACCTGAATTAAGCAAGACAATTTATTTGTATAAATGCAATAAAATTTTTGTTCCCTAGTGTTAGATTCTTTCAACAGATCAGTTATAGCATACGATTGTCTATTTTACTTCCTTTTCTAAATTTTTTGTAAAATTAATTTTAAAAAGATCAAATGTGATTATTCAGGTTTTTGTAGATTATTTTTAACTAAATACAGGACATTCGTATTAAGTTTTTTGATATTAAGTGTTTCTTGAAACATTTTCCAGCTATGGAAAAGATTAATACTAATTTATTTTAAATTTAATTATTTACATTGCATATACTTATAATTAAATTGTTCAACCTAGATTTAATAATTAAAGTCCATACAGTTTATCAGTGCCAACAAATTAAGGTTTCTTGTGTTATTAAATGTACATGTACTTTACATTGAATATCAAAGATTTTAATCTTGTCTTTAGCATTTATTAGTTAAATTACAACTTACAAACTTTAAGGTACTAACGAAAGCAAGGTTAAAAGTTCCAATCTATGTTACTTCTAAGTTGGGGGTGCACAACCTGCAAGAGCTTTTGAATACAAAGAGTTTTTTTTTTAAAAGAAGTAAAAAATTTTAAGTCTCGTTTGAGTCATCACTTAGTTATGTCAGGGGTCTGTCCAGACATTTTGTGATAGGTCCGTTTTGTGAAAAAATTACTCGTAATTTGTGAATATAAAATAAAGTTGAGTCACATTCTTTCAACCATTCTTTTGTGAATTTGTGCAAGTAGGGTCCGTTATTGCAAAAAACTTTCAAGGAGTTTTTAAATTGTTAAGACATACAAGATTATGCTCAACACTGTAAAATTATAATTTCAAAAATTAAATTTTAAAAAATAACCAGCAATTGCAGCTATTAAATTAGCGATGCAACATATAAATATTTGGTATTTAGCCTATACTGCTGAATGCAGAATATTCATTTCGGGATGAATAAAGGAAGAAGCGTCTGCAGAAGACAAAATTTAGTTAGGTTACATCTATCTTTCTCCCCCCCCCCTCCTGGGAAGGGTTTATTTGATTAACAAAACAATAATGAAGATAAACTTGTGAAGGGTCTGATTAAAAGATAAATTATTTTGTGAAGTGTTCGTTTTTAAGTTAAAATATTTTGCGAAGGGTCTGTTTTTATGAAAAGATATTTTGTGAAGGGTCCTTTAACGGACCCAAATTTCTTCTAAACAGACCGCTGGATGTGATCAATTTACGCAGGTTTTATCATAAACCTAAGTTTATCACTTTTTCAACCATTATTGCTAGGAAATTCTGCATGGTTTTAAGAGACTCTGTATTTTTAATAAGATTCACAAATTTAAGTATTATTATTTACGCTTTATTGTTGCAGATTTCATCACAATTCAAATTATGTTTGGATTGCTTTTATAACTAGCAATTTCCATGTGTATTTTAAAATCCTACATTTATTGCTCTATTAAGACTTGTTAGTTAAATGTTGCGTATTTAATTTATTACTTTTTGAAATGTTTTATTTCTGATTTTATCAGAAATAAAATTTTATTTAGAGGCAGTTATTGCTACGTTTTTCCATGCGATCTTGAAAATCCAGTACTTTTATTACGATATTATTAAAACCCGGACATATCAAGTCTCACATTTAAATTATTACTTTTGGAACCACTTTGTTTTCCAGATTTTATCTGAAGTTAGTTATTAATTTTTATGATGTAATGTAAAATATTTTTTAAAGTTCAGGTTTTTATTAAGATATGCAAATTTTAAATAGTGTATTTAAATAATTACTTATAGATCCTGCTTCATTTGTACTGATTTCAACGTTTAAAGTAATATTTTTGTGTTGCAATTATTTTGATTCTTTTTCATGTGAAATTGTCTATCGAGTTATTTTAACTAGACATAAGGTATTAATCACTCAATTATATCACTTTTTGATCAATTTGATTTGTGCATATTTTATCGTAAATATTTTTCAGTAATTTTTTCTGCAGTTAGCGCCATGCATTGGAACGTGGTATTTAGAATTCCGATACTTTAATGCAATGTTATTGCAAGAAAGAAAATTGAAAAAGTAGAGCAGGTTTGCCACAGGCAACTAAAATGCAACTATTGCCAACTATTTTTGGCATGAGGCGACTATGGCAACTTTTTTTTTTGCCTGAAAAGGTTAAAAAAGCAACTATTTTCAGGAAAAGGAGACTATTGGGAGACTTTTCTGTAATCTTAGCAATGTTTTTTTTCTTCTTTTAAGCATAAATTGGGTGGGAAATCTGCACCCCACAAGATAGTTTCTGAATACACTGAACATTTTTTTTCTTAAAATTGCAAATTTGAGTCTTCACTTTTTAAATCGTTTAATCTGCAGACTCCATTGTAAGTCTATTTTATTTCTCGGTCGCCTTTTCAATGATTATTGCTACGGAATTCCCCATGATTTGAAGAAAAAAAATTTATACGATACTACGATGTGTGAATTTCGAATTTGAGTAATTACTTTTCGTATGTATAAACATTTGCGTTTGTATGAAAATTATCATATTTGCCACCAACTTGACTGAATGGATCATGGTATATGATGTTTTGTTCTTATATAGGCAACTATTTTCCTAGTTTTTGGCTACTATTTTCATGTTTTAGGCTGCTAAAAGCAACTATTTTGTTCATTTTTTCTGTGGCAACCCTGTAGAGGAAAACTCTAAATTTTGCACTGCTCACTGTTTAATTTTGTTTTAAACTTTTCTATCTTGGGGGATTTTTCAGAAAGTGTCTTGTTTCAAATCCATGAAACCTCTCATTTTAAAAATAGAAATATATCTGAAGCATAATGCTAAATAAATATGGAATCTAATTTTGTTTTGATTTTTTGTTTTTGTTCCAACTCGAAACTTTTTTAGAATATCTAGTTTTGTTTTATATTACTCATTAAAACATATGAATTCTTATCACACTTTCATTCTGTAAGCAGTAGTTTTTTCATATTAGAATTTATGTTTCTTCAATATTTATATAGAAGGTTGTGCATCCTTAGTCTGTCTGTTTTTATTAAATCAAATATCACCTGTAAGATCAATTATTTTATGGCAGAGAAAAGAAAGCTAGTCTAAAACAATTGGTAGAAAATGAACTATTTGAAATAAAGATCATAGTGAAGAGAATATTTATTGAATTAAGTATAATCGGGAAGTGTAAAGCAAATATTGTCAGTCATAAATAGAGAATAATTAATCTATTCAGAATTAAATAGCTAAGACATTTAAATTTTATCAGTTTTCATGTTCTATCAAAAACCTAATTTTCAAAAATTGAAATAACAAGAAAAGGTCAACAATAAACTAATGTTCATTAACACTAAAAATCTTCCATCAAATCATTCTGCCTTGAAATAGTAAATTGAGAAAGTCTTGTCCTGAAGAGTTTTCTGAAACTTTTTCGTCAAAGAAAATAAAGCCAGTTTGATTGTTTTACACTTGAGGCAGTTATAATTTTAAACTATATGCTGTCTTGCCTTGAAGTTATCTGGTTTTAGAATGGACTAATATTAATAATAAATGCAGTATTCCATAATCTAATGCAATATTTCAAAAAACATTTAAAAATTGTCATTTTGGTAACTTTTCCACCTAGAACAAAATTATCAAAATCAATGACTTACTGTTACAAACTTTCGAGTCCAGATAATGCAAGATTAGAGTGCTTAAATACTAAATTAGAGCACTTTTTCATTTTCTCAGAACTGGCTCTACTCCATATTGATATTTATGAAATTTTGAGAATAAGCACAGGATACTAGCTGTAGATAGGCTAAACTTGACCAAACAGTTGTGATTATTTGTTGCAAACTCACAGCAGTTATCAAAATGGTATGTTCACAGAAACATTTCATGCTGCAACAAAGCCTCAGTCTTAAGCTGTAGTGCTGACAAATTTTTATTTGTATATATATTTCATATTTAAAATTGAAAGACTAATCTATATTTGACAATTGGCAAACTTGTTTATCTGAAATTTTGATTTTTATATTACTAAATACTATTTATGGTACTAAAATGTAAAATTTATATTTGGATTATTACTTATTGGGCTGATAACTGGTCTAGTGGGTACTGTGCTGGACTATGGGGCCAGTGGTAGCGAGTTTGAATCCCACCTTAGGCATGAATGTAACTTTCTCTCTATATATCCTTTCTTCTGTGTGAATGTAACTCGCCCTATAAACGATTTTGTGGTTGTATGATTTGAGCGACGTTACTCCACCACCATGGTTTAGCCACGAGTGCGAAATTCTGTTTTCAGTAAAAATAACTGAGTAAATGCAGAGGTGATTGTGCTCCGAAAAAATTCTGGATTTCCGGATTTTCCCCTCTGGGAGTTTCCGGAAATCCTAGGTCCAGAAGTTTCAAGAAATCATCGATCACATTTATGCATGGCAATTCTTGTATATTTTATTTAAAAATATTAGAACTGGAATTTATACTTGGCATCTCTTTCNTATAAATATTTGGTATTTAGCCTATACTGCTGAATGCAGAATATTCATTTCGGACGAATAAAGGTAGAAGCGTCTGCCGAAGACAAAATTTAGTTAGGTTACATCTTTCTTTCTACCCCCCCCCCTCCTGGGAAGGGTTTATTTCATTAACAAAATAATAGTGAAGATAAACAAATTTGGGAAGGGTCCGATTAAAAAATAAATTATTTTTTGAAGCGTTCGTTTTTTAAGTTAAGTGTTCCTTTTATATTTCTAAATACTACTTTTTATGGTACTAAAATGTAAAATTTATGTTTGGATTATTACTTATTGGGCCGATAACTGGTCTAGTGGGTACTGTACTGGACTATGGGGCCAGTGGTAGCGAGTTCGAATCCCACCTTAGGCATGAATGTATCTTTCTCTCTATATATCCTTCCTTCTGCGTGAATGTAACCCGCCCTATAAACGATTTTGTGGTTGTGTGATTTGAGCGACGTTACTCCACCACCATGGTTTAGCCACGGGTGCGAAAATCTGTTTTCAGTAAAAATAACTGAGTAAATGCAGAGGTGATTGTGCTCCGGAAAAATTCTGGATTTCCTGATTTTCCCCTAACCGGGCTCTGGAAGTTTCCAGAAATCCTATGTCTAGAAGTTTCAAGGAATCATCGATCACATTTATGCATAACAATTCTTGTATATTTTATTTAAAAATATTAGAACTAGAATTTATACTTGGAATCTGTTTCAGTTGTAAATTTTTTCTGGCAGAATAATAAATGTGATTGAAGATAAAAGTAAACTTATACATAATTATTCATTTAAATTATGCTGTATGTAATTTATTTAGAATTTAATGTTCTGAAAATATCAATGATTTAAATTTATAAAGACATTAATTTTTTGAAATGCGGCATTAATGATTTTACTTAAGAAATTTTCAGGATTTTTGAGTTGTACTCGCAATCACCCCTGTAAATGTATAAATTCGGCTCTTTTCTTGTATTGCAGACTGTTCTTAAACTCAGTTGGAGGTAGCGTGTATATTTTAGACTGATGTTGCGGCCATTAAATTCAGTTTTCTGATTTAATCATTTGGGAACATTCTTTGACAATAAAATTTTACTCTTAATTTGTGTTGCCTACAATGCTAAAAGAAACACTAAAGTTGTTTAATAATAAAGCTGCTTGTAAACTAATAACGGATAAAATTGTGATAGCTTAAATTTCTTAAACCTTTTAATTTTTGGTAGATAATTTAAAGTTGTAACTTTATATGAATTTTTTTAGCTCAAAATATCCTAATTGCCACAATGGTTATAAATTACCCTAGAATTCAAATAATTTAAGTTTTTTTCTTAAAATAACCAAATATTTTCAATGTTTATAACAGCTTTTTATCTTTTAGATGCATCAGTTGTTGATATGTTAGGTCTTGCATCCAGATCACACTTTTCTGGTAAGCATTTTATGTGTTCACAATTTGAGTTTCAGCGTGTGTAAAATAAAATTTTTGTTTCTAAATTTTTAATAGTTTTCATATTTCTATATTTAAGATTGAAAGCAAAATTCTCGTACTTAAAAATAGTTTACAATTTTGAAGTTTATTTACAGACATTTTATTTTTGGAAAAAATTTGTGTTTTAAGGCTTTAGTTATGTATTTTGCAACAGCTAATTTTGTAAGCTTACTTATAATTGTAATTTTAATTATTTTTGGTTCCTTGCAATGTAAATAAGTTTTGTAAATGTGTTGAACTTCTAAAATTTTACTATGCATACTAGTTTTTCGTAGACTTATCTATATTAGATGAAGTGCATAAGATTCAAATGTCTGAAATAAGATTAAAAGATAACAAGTTCTATCCATGTTCTCTAACCATGGTTTTAGTGCATGCATATTTGTGAGAACTTAATTTATTTGAAGCACGTATGTATAACAAATCACCGAATCAGCATCTGTAGAATCAAATTTGTAAGATTATATGTCAAACTAATTGCCAAGACTCAGTCTATCTTCAATGTTTCTAGACACTTGAGAGAAACTTCCAGAGATAATGTAAGCAGCAGAACTTTACTTCCAATAAACTCGTGTAGGATGCAGAAAGACTAAGTAGACAATGAATATCCTGCGCCAGTTACGTTAAGTCTTCCAGACCGGATGTTTCTAGTTCCAATGTATATTGCATTAACTATTTGTTATCTAACAATTGAAAGTATCTAAGTTAAGCAAAAGTATCAATCCATTCAGCTTTCGAAAACTAGAAGCAGAATGCTAATGAAAAAACTATTAATTACGAATTTTAAGAATTTCTTTTTGTTCTACCGGATTTTTAAATTTTATTCTTATTCTCAAAAATTAAAATTTATTTTGAAGCCTGAACATAATTTAAAAAAATTTATCTTTTTAAAAAGTGACATTTTGTAGCGTGCTTTCAAATCTTCACTTTTAAATGCACTGGTATTGCACATATTTCAATTGTATATCCGTTAGAGATGTCCAATATTTTCTGGAACAGGTATTTGGAACCTGTTATTTAATCATACCTGTTATAAAAATAACAGGTTACTTCCAAAGGCCTGTTCCAAAATACTAGGCAAAAATTTTAATTCAATTATCTTGGCAAAAATTTATTTTTCTACTTTTTTTAAAAAATGCTAAACTGTTTTTTGGCAATCTTTGCACAGTTTACAATGAGAAAAAAAAATCACGTTTTATTTATTATTACAGGGCCGTAGCCAGACATTGCGAGAGTCTATACAAGTTTTGTATTTCTAGTATTATAATTTTTTTAGAGCTGTTTTAAATTTAATAATTTAACGAGTATAGATCGCCATATCTCAAGAAATTTTAAAGCTAGTTGGAAATATTGATCACACAATTAAAAAATATATTTATCCAAAGAAAATTGAATGTAAAAATTAATTTTAAATAATTATCTATTATTGTTTGTTATTTAAAATTAGAAGAAAACTAAAATTTAAGCTATGTAAATTTTACATCATTTTTGTGCAATTTTAAAATGCAAAATTTGAACATTATTGATCAAGTCGTTTCTAAGTTAAAAAATTTCAAAAAGACATGACTTCATTCGAATTTTGCATTGTGTCATTTAAAATTACGTAGTTTAAAATGATACATGAGTTAATGTGCCTTGGTATTCAAAATTGTGTCAACCATTATTAAACAAATTAGTATAAATTAAGTAATAATTTCAAAAATACATTGTATTTCTCTTAGTTAAACAAATCTTATAACAATGAATAAAAATTTTTAATTCGTTTAAATTTTTTTATTTTATTTTTTTATTTATTATTATCATTATTATTATTATTATTATTTTTTTTTTNATCTGTAAATATTTATAATCAGTAAAAACTAAAATTTCATCTGACTTGAGTTAAATAAAAAACTGAAATAAATATTTAATGGTCTTGCATGTTTTTATAATAAGATTAATAGAAAGTGAAATTAAAACTACGTATAATTATAAAGAGTATCAGTTACTTGTCCCATTTGTTTTCAAATAATTAACCCTAGGAAAATGATTTCATTTTTAGATAAATAATTTTAAAAAGTTCTCTTTTAAAAAGTTCTCTTATAAAAAGTTTTAGCTTTTTTTCTTTTTTTTTGTTTCAAAGCCAGAAAATAAAACTGTTTAAATTTGTTAATGTATCACTTGGTAAAAAAGAGAGAAAATTGTTTCTTTTCAATTTTTAAACATATGAATTAATAATAACCTGTTTATTAATATATAAAGCATGCAACTATATTTGAAAAATTGATCTTTTCAGATTATATTTAAATTTTTATTTGATTTAATATCATTAAAATATTACTTTTTGAAAAAGCCCACTTGAAGTTTTCAATAGTAGGTACCTACTATAAAATTATATGAAGATTCGAGTTTCTTTTACTTTACTAATATTAAAAACTTAATCATATAAATCATGCAACTCTATTTGACAAATTTATGCTGCACAATAAATTATATAAAAGTAAATGCGAAACAATAAGTTTTAGTAAAAAAAAATATTTTTTTGTTGAAAAAACCCACTTATCGTTCCAAGTGGGTTTTTTCAAGGTGGGCCTGCCCAATAAAACCCGGGCGGGTTTTTTCAAAGTGGGCCCACTTGGCGAACCCTGATAACGAATCACCAAATCAGCATCTGTAGAATCTAATTTGCAAGATTGTATGTCAAACGAATTGCTTAGAATCAGTCTATCTTCAATGTTTCTTGACACTTGAGAGAAACTTCCAGAGATAATGTAAGCAGCAGAACTTTAGTTCCAATGAACTCTTATAGGAGTAGGATACAGAAACACTAAGTAGACAAAGAAGATCCTGCGCCAGTTACGTTAAGTCTTCCAGACGGGATGTTTCTAGTTCCAATGTATATTGCATTAACTATTTGTTATCTAACAATTGAAAGTATCTAAATTAAGCAAAAATATAAATCCATTCAGCTTTGGAAAACTAGAAGCCGAATGCTAATGAAAAAAATATTAATTATGAATTTTGAGAATTTCTTTTTGTTCTACCGGATTTTTAAATTTTAATCTTATCGTCAGAAATTAAAATTCATTTTGAAGCCTGAACATGATTCAAAAAAATTTCTTTTTTAAAAAAGTCTGACATTTTGCAGTGTGCTTTCAAATCTTCACTTTTAAATGCTCTGGTATTGCACATATTCCAATTGTATATCCGTAGGGGTTTTGAAGAATGTTACGGTAGATTTCCATAGTTTTAAAAATTTTAATGTATTCTAATACGAAAATTTTGAATTAGTTATTTTATTTGCTTTAACCTATTTCACAATTTTTTCTGGCTTTCAGTGACAAATCTGCTTAGCAATAAGATCTTTCTGAAAGTTATTTTTGATAGTTTTATCAAATTATAACAGCAGTGGTTTTTATGTCTACACATATAGAATAAAACTAAATAATTTTTTCCATCAAAATGTAATACGATATCAATAATATCGCCTATAATATTAAAATGTATATCTCATTTTAAAGGGAAACACACTTTAATTTTTTCGAATTTTGTAAGGATCAGAATCGCAGCGACACAGCAACATTGTCACAGAACGTTGGAGTTATTGCAGAAAGATTTTTGTTTTGAAAAGTGGAAAAATATTTACCTTTATTTTTTGGACAGAAATTTACCTGTTATATTTGAATCATGCATTCAGATAATCTCTTTGACACGCTCAATATACGCCAATAGTATCGTAAATTGATATATTGTTTCGATTGTATTTTCATCAGTTATTGATATTGATTTTCACATGGATTTTGAATATCCCGATTAACATGGAAAATTCAAATTGGTATTTGACTATTTACTTTTTAAGGCAATAATTCTGTCTAATTTTATCAGTTATTGCTATTGATTTCTCCATAGTTTTTAAATCAGATATTTGTATACGATATTATTTTTATACAACAGCCTAATCAAGAGATGAGACACACATTTGATGTGTTAGATTCGCATGATTTTGCCGTCAATCTTTTTTTTTTTTTTTTTTTTCCCTAGCACTATGGATTTAATGATTTTTAACTTTTTTTATTGTGATAATTAGTTGCAAAATGTGAAGGAAATAATTTCTATGCCCCCTTCCCAACAAAATGCGAAAATGTTACCTATAATGTCAGAATAAAAATTGCATATTCAGTTAAAAAAATTACATATTTTTTTTTGTAAACGCAGCCCTTTTGTTGTTTTAAATTAGTAACATACATTTTTATTAAAAGTATCTTGCAGAAAGATATTAGTGCTAGAGAGTTTTGCCGCAGATAGCTTGAAAAAATTTTGCCACAGTAGTAGTCACAACATTAATAAACTGATTTTTAGAAATTGTGAAATCCATAGCAGTATTGGAAATAAAAATATCAACAGCAAAATTATGTGGATTTATGACACTACTCAAAAGAGGTTACTTAAATGAATGTTCAGAGATTTGCATATTGTAATGTCTTATTAAAAACATCTAATTTTAAAAATTATGGAAATCAGGAGCAATGACTGCCATAATATCTATCAAGGAAGCAAAAAAATGGAATCCTTGCATTAAAAATGTACACAAATGTCAAAGTTCAATTTCTCATAGTGCATGTAATATCTTTAAAAATCAGGCTAAAATCAGTAACAAAAAGTGCCGAAAAAACAAGTGGAGCTGCAAATATATTTACAGTGCAAATCTAACTCATTAAAAAGGAATTACTTAATTGCTCTATTTAAATTTTAAGAGCTGTAATTTATGAGATAGTGATTTTAAAGCACATAAGACAGGAACAATTACGGTCTGAAAAAACTAGTCTCACTTAAAATAAATAATCAAATAAACAATTAAAATTTTGCGTGTCTTGAAATATTAATTTTTTAAAAAGAATATCAATAATAATTATAACCAAAGACATCGTTAAAACTGTGTAACGCTTCATAGTAATAGTGGAAAATTGTCAAAACACCCGCATGGTCTTACAAGAGAATTAGATTGAGTTGTGCGTTATAAAGTGATTACTTAAATCTGTGCTTTGAAAGTTTCATGTCTTGTTCTTAATATCCTATTAAAAATATTGAACCCATGTTATTTCAGCCTAATAAAAAGAGGTAAAAATATACATTTGTAACAAAATTTGGGTGATATTGAAGTAAAAAAAGTTTTATTAAAAATGAAGGAAAAACTAAATTTCTAACTTTTTTTAAATTATCCAGATTTTTGAAATACTTTTTATATTAGCAATTTACAAATTCTAGCTGAAGCTGGTCCGTCATTACGGAATTTTTAAAGTTGAGCCGAATTTGTGTCTTGTTCTTGCAAATCTGTATTTTAAAAAATCAAAGATTGAGATCTCTGGCATAAGAAATGGAGAGGAAGAAATGTCTTAACGAAATTTTGCGGAACTGTGAAAAAATTCTAATCTAAGTTAAACGTTGGAAGATCAAGTCTTTTCTTTCTGGTACATGAGACGCTATCTTTTGTGAACAAATTTCAAAAAAATTTGGCAGAACAACTTTTGTTTTTGCAAAGCTAGAGTTGAAAAGAAAACAAAGAATTTTTCTAACTAAAAGAAATCTTTCTGTAAGAATTCTAACTTAATATAATGTCTTAAGTTTTTGCCACAAGAATGTTTTATTTTCATTTTGTTGATCTAATGGGCTTTTTGATAAGAGTATTCTGCATTTATTGCCAGATTTACTCACTTTTTTAAGTCTATATTTTTTAATACCACATTAATAGGGCAATCTAACCTCTCATTTTAAATAAGTTTTGATGTGCTTTATTTGTGCAGATTTGTTCAAACTTAAGTATCAAATTGCACATTTTAATAATCATTTTCGACCTGCTTTATTTGTGTCAATTTTGACATCAGTCTTAACTTTTTATCATTTTTTTTTTGAAGTTTTCTGCATGGTTGTGAAAATTTTGTTAGTTTTAATACAATATATTAAGACTTAAGTGTTTCAAATTGTGTATTTTAATAATCACTTAATACTTTTATATTTGAACATTTCATCGTCAATCTATATGATCTTTAGCAGCTATTGTTCCTAATTTCCACTGTTTCTTAAATCTCTATTTTTTAATGCAATACAGTATTTTAACAAATCTACAGAATTTGAACGTGGAAAAAAGTAAAACTTATTTTGACCTATGATGTCTTTATTTTATTGTAAATCATTTTAAACAAACATAAAATTTCTTTAACTAGAATATTTAATTTGTGTTTACATAGCTGAAAAATTTTACTTTTATCCTTCAAACATTAGTTTTTTTAAATAAACTTATGTATTATGTAGTAAAGTGACAAATTACTTTTCCCTTATCTTTTTATTTTTACAATAAATCTGCGTTTTGAAAGAAAAATTGTTTTATAAAAATCAGTTAATTTTTCAGGTTTGATTGAATTTTAATGTTTCAAAAGCATTTAAATGTTTGCAAAAATATTAAGTTGACTGAAAATTTAGTAACTAAAACAATGTTTATACAAGAAATTAACATAATTTCAACCAACATATTTAAATACTTCGGCTTGCAGCCCATCACTCAAAGGTTGTGTATCCTTATTTTAGGGAATTTAAAAGTGCTCATTTATATTTTTAAAATTTGAAACAAATGCTTGCTCCTAAAAATTCTCAAACCTTAAAAATAAGTTTCTTAAAATCTGTTTGCATAGACAATTTTCCTTTATGATCTTCGTGTGTTTATCTTTCTGCTTATTTCTAGCTTATCTTTCTGCTTGTATTTAATCCTCAACTTTTTCAGGTTCCAACTCAAATATGCTAGGTTTATCAGGCATCAATCTTCCCAATGGAAATTTAGCAAATATCATGTATAATGCAGGTTCTGTTGGCTATTCTGCACAGACAAATCCATTGAAAGCTTTTAATTTAGGATCCATTTCAAAGCCTTATGAAATTAATCCTATAAGTAAACTACTATCCCAAAATTGGTCACCTGGTGGTAGGCCAGTGGATAATGGGATGCAAAGTGGCATGAGGGCAATAAGAGCAGCCTCACCGCAATTACCCTTCACATCGTAAGTACTGAACTTTATGTTAAAAATATGCATTTCAAAGAGTTCTAAGTTTAAAAACTATGACTAGCAACAGAAGTTTGCAATATTGAGAGTCTATAAAACTTAGTCTCAAATTTGTTTAGTTTAAATGTTTAATCTTGTCAGTCTTTCCCATTTTAAAATCTGAGCTCTGCTAGTCTTTCTTGTGAAAGTTAAGATATAAAAATAAATAAATGTTATTAGTTGATAAATGTAAGTAACAGTATAAAGATATTAAACCTGCAATTTTCCTTATTCAGATTTGATGAAAAGATTTGACTGAAACCATCTAAATTTATACAATTGACAATTACTATTACTAAGCAGGTTTAACATTAAACTCAACATTTTATCTAACTGGTACTATCGTATGGTGACAGAGCCAGATTAATTGAATGCAGAGTTTTGCCTAAACCTGGCTCTATATTTTTTGAAAAAATTTATTTTAAGACTTAGAGACTAAATACTTTGCTTAAAGTTAGAGTGAAGTTATTTAGTTTTTGAGCTTCACTAAAAATGTCTGAATGACTTTTGGTTATCAACTAATTTTCAAATAGTCTAAACCACTTAATCTTATTCTATGATAAACTTAATCTTATTCTATAGCGTTATATTTAGATTGTCATTCAAATTTTCCAATTAGACAAAGTTAACATAGCTAAAAACTGAATTAGTATAATCTTCAATCGTTTTAGTTAACTTTTTGTCTAAAATATGCAATTAAATTGTGTTTTGTGATCAAATTACTTTTAAAACTTACCAAAGTTGTGAATTGATGAGTTTTCATTAAAGTAAAATTACCAATGATAATTTAAAAGGCATAATGGAACTAAATGGATAATAAAATGGAACTATATATTTTTATTACTGTTAAACTTGTATTCCAAAAATTTTTAAAGTTTGTACAATAAATTTTAATTATGTTTCATTGGAATTTTTAATTTATTTACCTGGAAATTAGTTTTCATGTAGATGTTATTCTTTGTGATGAGAGTTAAAGAGGAACTTATGAAAGATTTTAGTTGAGCTATGTTACGTAGGACTTGTTAATTTGTGCCAAAAATAAATTTTTATGGTATGTATTTATTTAGACCTTTGCAAATTGTGCTTATTAGCAGTTTAATTTTCTATGCTATTGCAGCTTGTTCCTTAAAGTTATAAATTCATTGAACAAATAGTTAAAATTTATTTTAAGTTGACTCTGTACTCTTCAGAGTAGATTTTTGATTATTGCAACTCTTATCTGGTCTGAACTAAACTATTTACAAATTTGCTATTTTCAGCAAATTTCTCATTCTTTGTCTTAATTTCAGGGAGCCCTCTACACTTGAGCAGGCTCTGTTTGTAGGATGTGAAGGCCTTCGTGAAAACAGGAGTTCTTCACCAACAGAGTCTGATACTAGTGGCATTAGCAGTGTATCTGAACTGAGTAGTCTTTCTGATTTAATGGTAAGAATTTATAAACTAGCTTAGTCTAAAGTTTTGCAATTTTAATAATAAATTGTAGTTGGTTAATTTGCACGTCACCTGCATAACAGGTTAACCTATGAACGGTCGCATGCCCAATTACTTTGATATTTTGATGGCAAGTATTTTTTATGCAATAATGTAAAATTTTGTAGCTTCCAAAATTGGTCTTAAGACTCAAGTGGATCATCATTATTCCTTCATTCAAGGAGTTTGATTTTAAAAAATAAATTTAAAACTTTAAAGAAAAATTTTGCTTGTTCTAAATCAAATGACACAATTTCAGTCCCCATAAGAAAGTTTCTATGCGGATATTCTAAGTAACATTAAAATAACACTATCCATGGAACTAAAACTAGGGCTTGATGCATCCATAGTTCATGATAGAAAGGTTGTTGTAAAGAAAATCATACTAAATAGTGTAGAAAGAAAATCATACTAAATAGTGTAGAAAGAAAATTATAATAAACTTCTATAGCAAATATTTCTGAGGTTATAAACTACAGAATTTTTTCTATTATCAGACTTAAGCATTATTTGTTATTGCAAAAGTGTTATTCTTATGAAATTTTTATGTATTAAGGAATCTACTTTAATGTGCAAACATGAATCTGTAATGTTCATGCTTCATATCTCTGAAATGGTTAACTTTTTAATGTTTCCTGATCTTTTAATTTTCACTTAGCTCAAGTGCAGCTGTGTATAGCAGATAAACAGCTGGTTGCCTAAAGATTGTGAACACTTTTTGTTAATTTTTAGATTAGCATTTTTATATTACTATAATTACCAAAAATAGCAGACTTAAGAAAAATATTGCTGTAGTACCTTGCTTGGCTCAGTTGTTGCAGCTAAGGTGTATTGCATCACAAGATTACTTTTAAGTATTTTTCTCCCATTAATTATGTTTGAAAATATTAAAGTAGGAAAATATGGCTTTCAAGTCTTCAGCTTTTTAAGCTACCAAACTCAAGCCAGTTTATAAAACCTATCTAGCATGCTCAATTTCAAAATATTTTGTTCTGTCTACTTAAAAACTGATTTTTATTAAATGGGAGATAATACTTTTTTAATAATTTAATTGTTCTTGAAACATAAATAGAAATATAATTGTATAATTAACTAGAATCTTATTTTCAGAATAACTTAAATATAGGAACTACTGTTGGCTCTGCTGTTCCATCTGCATCTCCATTAAACTGCAATACTAATTGTCGCTCTGATGTTGACATGCCCATTATATCCTCTCCATTTTTTGTTGATAAAAGATGGTCTGCTAATTCAGTTTTGAATGCTAATTATGGTGATTTAGATTCTATAGAAAGAGCTGCAAGATTATACAGAAATGCTGCTGGTATGTTTAAAGATTTCAATTCTATATTTTAATGTTCAAAAGTGACTTTTATTTTGACTTATTTTTCATTATTTTTAGCTTTCTGTGAAGCAAATTGTACTTGGAGTGGACACTTACCTCCAAAAGCTCATAAAAACCCTACATATTCATGCAAAGTGTTTCTAGGTGGTGTACCTTGGGATATCACTGAAGGTAATTTACTTTTTATACTAGTTTGTTGTTAAACAGTAAACTATTTGAATTTTATGAACAGTTTGATTTTGTCCACTGTAGTCTAAAATTACCAATTTTTGTAAGTTTAGGTACAGTGTGAATTTTTATTGTGAATTTGGCACAGTTTAATAGTAAATAATTCTTGTGCTATATTTAACTCTACATTCAGTGGTAAATTCAGGGTATCTGCGCACCTGGAAAGTCATAAAAAAATCATGGAAAGTCATGAATTTTGGTATTGAACAAAATTTGTCATGATTTAAACTTTTTTTAAAGTCATGAATTTAGGTTGCCAAAAAATCTACAATTAAACTGGAATTTACCCCTCCCCCAATTTCTTGGTGTTCCGAATATCTGAATTTGTAACAAACTCCCCACTCAGTCATATTTTATTAAAATATAAAATTTTTTTATTATGTTCTTTAAAAATTGTGTTCTTTCAAAAAATTAAGAAAAAACATCATTTCTAGAACAAATTATCTTTTAAAATTTTAGCTGAAGCAAGCCAGTGATTGGCGAATTATTTTTATTCTGAAATAATAACAGAAAATCAGAAGGTATTTCTTTCCTTTCCCTTGAACAAGAAAAGTGTTTTTAGAATATAATTCTGCGGAAAAAGGGGAAAATTACATTTGAGCTATTTTATTGCTTCAAATCTTTATTTTCTGTTTCTTAAATTGAAAATCTATAAATGTGACAATGCAGAGTACCAGTTTCGGTTACACCTATAATTTCAATTAATGTTATTATGATACTTTTTAAATTTACTATTGAGTTTTTGGAGAAAATAGTAACTTTGTAAAGTCATGAAAAATTCTTGGAATTAGTTATGAAAAGTCTTGAATTTGAAAACCTAAAATGTAGCAGATACCCTGTAAATTAGTTTATTTCCAGCAAGTTAGCAGTAATCTACAAAAAAATGAATCAGTACTAAACACTATGAAATGGTGAGTAAAACAATTAATAAAGCTAAAATGATTAAGCACTCCTCAAGGATAAATAAAAAAAATATTGTTAATTGGTTAACAAAACATATTGTTAATAGTTCAGCCTATTAATAATTCAGCCTATCTTTTCTGGTATTTATCCTTTTTAAAGGGATCATAAAAACCTTTCACAGTATCAATATTAAAGGTTCTCAATATTGATGCAGCGTCAATAAGTACCAATTATACAAATTTTACAAACATTTAGTATATTTAGAATCTGTTAATTGCACTAAGTACTGGAATACCATTCGACTATTCGAAACAAACTGAGTTTTCAAAGTTTCCCTCTGTTTAAATTCCAAATGAAGTATTCTAAGAAAATATTTCTATGTTTACAAACATTGTGTGTACATTCTTATTCATATTAAATGATTTAAATGATATATCAATTCATATTTATACATAATATTTATTAATAAAATATTATGTAAATAAAAATTTTGAGCACTTTTTTAAATAAAATATTATAAATTTAAGAATTGTTTAAGTTTACTTAATGCTTAGCGCATTAAAAGTGTTACATAATTAAGTTGTGTTATTTAAAATTATTAAAAATGTGAGGGATTTTTGTTTCCATTATTCATCCGAAATGGTTATTCTGTGTTGAGCAGTCTAAGTTAAATACCAAATGTTTGTATGTTGCATCTCTAATTTAGTAGCAGCAATTGTTGAGCAGAATCTTGTATCCATTTACAATTTAAAAACTTCTTGAAAAGGTTTTTAGCAATTTTTGCAATAACAGGACCCTTTTTGCACAATTTCACAAAAGCAGGACCCTGGTTGCAAGAATGTCACTTAATGCTTATTTTATATTCACAAATTATGTGTGGTTTTTTTGCAATTTTACAAAAACAAGACCTTTCACAATGTCTGGACAGACCCCTGGGCACTAATTATAAAAAATTAATTCCTTTTCTTAAATGTCTCACTCATGAATGGTCGAATGATTTTTATGAATTGGAGGAGGGGCTGAAGTCCAGAATTTCTCCCACTGATCCAACTTTTAGGACTGAAACAACCTGATCTGAGATGAAGGAAACACATGCATTAACTTGTAATTTTACTTTAGTTTAACTTGGGTATTTAAAAGCAAAATTTAAAACTAAAGTCTGCTTCATGATTTCATTCTGTTCACTCAACTTTTCAACAATGTTGGCAAATTCTGTATTACATTATGAATGTGTGATTTAAAACCTAGTTTAAATTTTTAAAAACAATGGTTCTCATTGCTTTTATGTGTTTCTAGCTGGTCTAGTGGAAGCCTTTGCACCTTATGGACCCATCAAAATTTTATGGCCTGGAAAAGATAGTCGCAGTGCGTCGTATCCCCCTAAAGGTATATTTTATTAAGTAGTTTGAATTTGATGATTAATGATATTTGTTTTTTAATGATACTTGGTTAACTATCTTAATTTTATTTTAGCTGGCTATGTGTACATAATTTTTGAAGCTGAAAAACATGTGAAAGCCCTGCTTCAAGCTTGTACTCATGATTACAGCAATGGTGGAAATTGGTATTTTAAAATATCATCAAGAAGAATGAGATCAAAAGAGGTAATATTTTGCTTTATCTACCTATGTTTTAAGGCTGCTGCTTTAATTTTTCTGTGAACTGTAATTTTAGTTTGCTTGTTTCAGTGTGAATTAAAACAAATGTTAATACAGAACTTTTAGTCCTTAATTTTATTGGTACAAATGTTGGAAACTCTCTTTATTGCTTTGAACCTTTACTGTTGTAGAGTAGGAAATTTTTTAATTAGCTTTTCAAATTTTTGAGGAAATTAGACAGTTGATACTTTTTTTTTTTTAAATGTATGAGGAATCAAATTTTATGTGTCCAATGAAGATAATTTTAATCTAGTGTATCTTAAGGAACTAAATTCATTAAAATTAAACGAATAATCTATAGCATTAAGTTGACTGACATTGACTATATATAGTGAATGGGAAATGTGATATTTAAAACTATTTTAAATGTGTTTTATGATCCTACTTTATTAGTTAAACATAATAAAGTCTAAAATGTTGATGCCCTTAAAGCAAAGCCAGTTAAAACCATCCAAATAATTGAAATTAGCTCTCTTAAAAAATTTGAATTTTTTAAAATTATAAATCAAAACTTTTATAATTTAATTAATACTGTTACAACTGATTTATGTAATTTATGAAAATTATATAAATATAAGTAAGAGCCTATTAATTTTCAATTACAATCTTCTAGAAAATCAGAATTTAATTTGCCTATTGTCCAAAAGAAATTCTGCTATTTTGAAAATTCTAGTAACCTTAGATGCCTGTTATTGGAGGATGTTTTAAAAAAAAGATTAAATGTTAAATTCACTTTACCTGTGAAATATTCATGGGCAAAATGCTCTAAAGATTAAAACACTATTTCAATCTGTAAAAATTGTTTAAAAACTGGAACTTAATGAGAATTTCCAATAAAATCATGAACCATATGAAGGAAAAATACTGAATATGCAAAACCTTTATCGCTAGTGCTTCCTAGCCTTAGTTATTCGCTATTCCTGAAAACCAGTTTTACTTTTTAATTAATTGGTCATTTTATTCTTTAACTTAAATAGGCATTTTAATTTTAAGTATTTTAAGTTTTAAATTCCTTTACACCGTGTAAATTTAAAATATTTTTGGCAATATTTTGTACATTTTCAAATAATGGAAATATTAAATGTTGACTGATTAATACAGGGATGAGATTTTTTAGCGAATTTCCGCTTTTTCACTTCTGTCTCTCGAATTTCAGCCTTTTTATCGAAAACTCCGATCATCTAAAAGTTTCACTTTTTTAAAAATAAATATTCTGCTTTTTCAGAGAATTCAGCCTTTGAAGTAAAATAATTATATTTATTTCCGATTTTCAAAGATAAACAGAAAATTCAAACTACATTGCTGCCAACTCTTATCATTTTTACTTATTTTAGCTATTTTTCTTGTTACGCATAGACGATATCGTTTTTACCCGCTTGCCAGATAGCTCGTATTTTCGTAATTCAGACGTCGCTTCTTCAAACAAGCCTTTTAGAAGTCTCAAGCCCGGAATCTGCTAACATTTTGATTCTTATTCATGCGATTTAAATATCAAGCATAGATTTTCGTATTTACGCGATTTAAAAGTTGCTCGTTTCGATTATTATTCACGCTATTTGAATATCATACATTACGATTCTTATTTATGCGATCTTATTATTATTCACGCTATTTGAATATCATACATTACGATTCTTATTTACGCGATTTAAAAATCCAATATCACGATTTAATATTTACGTGTTTTTTAAAACCTATGTTTGTTCATGCGGTTATAATATCAAACATAGATTTTCGTATTTATACGTGATGTTAAAATAAGGCATTGGGATTCGTATTTACGCGATCTAAAAATAATGATTCGTGATTTTTGTTTACGCGATTTAAAAATTCTATAACGCAGTTTGTATTTTCCCATCTTTAAAATCGAAAATCGAGTTTCATAGTCGTGATTTCAAATTCCATTATACTGTTTCATATTCACGCAATTTAAAAGTCCAAGATTGCTGTTTGTATTCAGATGATTTTAAAATCAATTATCGTGATTCCTGTAAGAAGTAAATTTTTTTCTTGAATTAGTTACTATAAAGGAGACATTTTTTTTTTTCTATCGACAACGTAAAATTTATTCACATGGAAATTCAGCTTTTTTGCCCTTTAGCCAATCTCATCCCTGTTAATAGTATGTCTTTTCTAAATTAAAGACCAATTGTGTAAAAATTAAAACTAATTGTATTTTCTATGTAATGTGTATATTAATAGACATGCTTAAACTGCATTTCTTTGTATTGCTTCAGTGCTTTTTATATTATCATTGCCAAAGACATTTAATTTCCTCAGTGCTTATAAAAAATTTATAATTCGTTCAAATTTGTATATTAGGTTCAAGTGATACCTTGGTCAATAAGTGATAGCAATTTTGTACTCAGTCCTTCTCAAAGACTAGATCCTAGCAAAACCGTTTTTGTGGGGGCCCTTCATGGCATGCTAAATGCTGAAGGTTTAGCACTTATCATGAATGATTTGTTTGGAGGTGTTGTCTATGCTGGAATAGATACAGACAAGCACAAATATCCCATTGGTAAGTATAAACTCATTGTTTTTGAACTTCAAGAATAGTTGGGATAAGTTTATTTGGAATTTCGACACTCAAATTTTGAACATGTTTTGACCAACCAAAACATCTTTAAAGTCTTAAAGGCAGTGGGCATCTTGTAAATGGCTTCAATTGTTTTAGTATTAAGATGATTTTTCAGTTTTCCTCTGTTTATTATTATTTTTTTTAAATAAAAATATGGCTTTAGAGGCTCTTGATAATTTTTATCAGAACTGTTTCCAGTTCTATCATTCTTAATTTTGCCTTTATATAGACTGAATTAATTGCTGTCGTGAAATAATGAATTTTTGTGACCAATGTATTTTCTTTTATAACTCTTTAGTTTGTAATAGTTTATCTTCAGCTGGCCCTTTCTATGCTAATTCTAAAAATAATGAGAAGCATTTGTAATCAAATTCTTAGAACATTTAAAAGTTATTCTAAAAGTGCATTATTTGGACTTCTAAAAAATATGCAAAAATTAAGAATCACTTATTATAATTTGTAAGTCAGTTTTACAGACCAGGTCAACTTATTAGAAAGATAATGTATATAGTTTAAAATTAAATAACTTGCCAAAAATTAATGCTACATAGCCACATTTGGCTTCTACACAAATAAGCTAAATCTTCAATTATTTTCAAATTAAACATGTAATTTTTGCTTCTAGGTTCTGGAAGAGTGACATTCAACAACCATAAGAGCTATATGAAAGCAGTTACTGCAGCTTTCATTGATATCAAAACTCCTAGATTTAATAAGAAAGTAAGCATCTTGTGTTTAATTTTTCTTATATATTTCATTAGATTTCTTTTATTAAATGCGATACTGTTTGAAGTATATTAACTATGTAACATTGAGATTGGATGAATTTACTAAATTTTTAGAAGTGAAGCTTTAGAAATTATTAAATGGAATCTAACTCCTTTTTTTAAAAATAAAAAACTTCTGAATTGTAGATGCAGTTTTGTCATTATTTTTAAGTATAATGTAGTCTTTTTTTTTCTAAATCAAAGTTTCATTACTTGTTAAATATATTTTAATGTAGGTAACAACTAATTTTTTAACTAATTGGGAGCGTAATACCTTTCTCACTAGTAGATTGAAATTTATTCTAGTAGTAATGTTGTGAATTCTTTGACCAACATAGAGTACACCTTTAGCAATTGAAATGTTAATGTTCCATAATTTTTTTATACACGTTATACTTCTGTGCAATCAATTTTGACTTAGTAATTCAAAAAGAGTTAATTTTTTCAATTTAGAAATTATAAAAATTAATAGTGATTAGGAAACTGTAGAACAGTTAACAATGTAAAATACTTAAATTGAATATTGTGGATAAATTCTGTCAAGCCTACATTTTTGTTACTTTTTAGGTGCAATGTGATCCTTACTTAGAAGATGCCATATGTTCAAGTTGTCAGATTCAACAAGGGCCAATATTCTGTAGGGATTCAGCTTGCTTTCGTTATTTCTGCCGTAGTTGCTGGCAGTGGCAGCATTCTGTTGATACTTACAGAAGCCATAAGCCTCTTATGCGTAACAAGACAAACCGTTAAGTGTTCGGCAAACATAGACTATGCACATGCATTAGCTTGGAAGCACCTGCCAGTAATTTCTCTCTGCCCTCTTTAGTTTTCAATGTGTTTCCATTGAAAATCTGTTTTTATTCTTCTGGCAGGCTTTATCATTTGCTGTTTTACAAAAAAAACTTTTTTATTGTTGGTATAATGTTCCAAAACTAATACTTGATCAGACGACTTCAGGAGAAGTCTTTTATTTAAATATTTTTGTTGTACAAAGTTCCTTCTAATGCCAGAATTATGTTTAAAAAAATGTTGATGACGTGATATTTTATGTTAAAACTGTGACGAGAAGTCACTCAATATTTCTTACAGCTTTTTAGTTTTTATAATGAAGAGCTTGTTTAATGGGATAGTTATTTTGGGGGTTACCAAAGATTATATTAAATTGTTTTTCGTTTTTGTATGGTACCTTTTTGGCTGTGCGGGCTTTCGATATTATGCATCGTTAGTATTTGAAATATCTTTACTAGTGGAACAATAGTATTTATCCTTGGATTTTAATAATTATCAAAGCCTTTCTAAACCTCTTTAAAAAAAAAAAGCATTTATCTGTATGTAGCTTGAAAATTTTAACTGGAACACACTCAATCTGTGCTGTATTTTTCTGCACCAAACTCTATATGCCGATGTTTTATGCCTACTAGTCTTACTTTTCTATATCAATACATATTCATTTAATATTTTTTAACATTGCATATTTTTATTTAATCATAAGTGTTCTTAATGGGAGGTATCGTTGAACGTGATGTGCCTCTTTTGTTTAATTTTTTATGCACTTATTTTTTCTTTGTAAGTGTGAAGGTTTGAAACTGTTTCATACGTTCTTAACTTCATCAAAAAGCATCTTGCTTTTGATTTTTAGCAAGGAAGTCTGTTTAATTAATCAATATTTGTTTCTTATCTTAAATGGATAGTCAATGTTCTTAACTAGAAAAACAAAATTATTCTGAACTTTAGCATCTTCCATGTCCATGTGCCTACTTGCCATAGATGTTAAGGCTAGTCATTAAAAAAAAAAAAAAAAAANATAAAAAAAAAAAAAAAAAGTTCCTTGTGTATAGCTAGCCGGAAACAAAATGGCCTTTCTCAGATTTTATCGATTGCCTTTAAATCACTTGATGTTTAAATGTGTGTGTGGCAACACCATAGTCAATGTTGTGATCATTTGTTATACCATTACTAACAATATGCGATGGCTATGGTTGTGTGCTCGGATTCAACTAACCTATGTGTATGAAGATTTAATTTTTAAAATGTAGTGTTTTTAATTTTTGAAGGCACAGCAGCTTCTGTGTGCAATACGGGTACTGTGCATTCCATGACCCTCTTCCTTACGCTGAAAAATTGTTTTAATTGTATATTATAAAATACAGATGTATTTGGCTGTTTTGTTTTCAAATAGATTAATAAAAGCATTAAAAAAAGCAAAATGTTGATTATTTTCTCAAACACGAATACTGCTTTTTAATAGATAAGTTTTATGGGAACTAATAACGTAGAACCTAGAGAAACTAAATTTCCTTTTATCAATGTTATGAGACTTTTATGATAGCCCTGCTCTAAAATTGCAATCAAATAAATAAGACTATCTGTGAGTGATTGCCACTAGCAATAATTGAGTGAGCTGCTGAAATCAAAGGCTAAAAAAATCTGCAAGATTCGTTAAAGTTAATATTTTAAAAGAAATCTTAATTTAAAGTACATCCTTATTCTTCAAGAGGAATTTCTGATAAAAAAATCTCCGACAGTTGTGAATAATTTAATTTTTATTGAAGGGTTAAATTTATGGAAAGTTTCTGTTGGTCTTCAAAATGAATATTGCAATTGTATCATTTTCAGTTGATACCATCAAATGTTCAGTTGATTTGTATCAGAAATCCTTTCTCTTAACATTATAAGAATGTCATCTAAAAACTTTACATCAGGCTTTTTGCAACAAGTTTTATAAAACTAAATTTATGTTACCATTTTATACCAAAAATTGTAATTAAGAACTTGACAGGTTCTGCATACAACTGATTTTCGTTGTTCTCTTACAGCTAACGATCAATCTTGACAAGCTATTTTCTTTAAGATATTGTTTCTCTGCTAGAACACCACTTTCACTTTTAATTCCGTCAATTTCTCTTTATTTGTTCTTATTAATGTGTTACTGTATCTTTTATTCCAAGAAATATTGTAGCCTAAAAAATATTTCAAAATTTATTTTAATTTTATGTAGGGTCTAAAATGAATATCAAAATTTTATTTTTGTCTATTCTAATTCATTTACTACACACATTTCTTGGACTAATTAAATAAGATTAACTCGTTTTGGGAAAGTTAACACTAAAAAATATGTTAGGAAATTTTAATAGAAGATTAAAATTGCTAAAAAGTTAAATATGAATAGGTTATGCCATAACTTGTGCAAATGTAAGTTTCTTACATAAGGTCAAAATATCAGTCAACCAATATAATCTGAACATTAGCTTTATTTCTTTCTACAAGCAAAAAAAAATTCTTTTTTACATAAGAATTCAAAATTAAATTCATGTGCAACAATTAAATTGAGCATGAAATCTCAGAGTATCAAAATTTTCAGCTTTTCCTTCCAGGACTTGTCACTTTTTCTTTAAAATAACTGAAAATAAAAGAAATTAAAATTTACTTTGATTCAAACCATTACAATACATGATCTACAAACTTACGCTTTTAGACATTTTTAACACTTGGGGTAGAATGACACACTAAAATTTTTTAATTGCAATAGTTGTCAGAACATTGGTTTTAAATTTAACTTGGTTGGCTTGGCAACTTTGTGACCTCTCAGACAAGGGCCCAACATAGTACAGTAAATATGTTATACTAACTTTTCGTTTTTTTTTTTTTATATTAAAGGGTTTAAACATCAGATATACCTTTTCTTTAATTTTGAGAATGCAACTCAAAAATTTTTTCTTTACTCTCATAAATAGTATCCACTAATTAACATATTTAATGCATGTATGATTGAGTATCATATGGAAATCTAATACCACTACATTTTCTAATTATATTCAAAAACTTAAATGCTGGAAGATGCATTCCAAGACACATTAATAATTTTTAAGCATTTTTTTATATATTTATTTTACACTTTTGAATGAGAGTTAAGCCGGAATACGTTTACCCAAACAATTAAGTATAAAATTAGTACTTAAGATTTTTAACTCAAAATTTGAGTTGGGGTAGTATGAATTATAATAGTGAAATATATATATTTATAAAAACTACAGTGATGCACTTTTGAAAATTTGTCTTTGACATTGCAAACAAATCAATTAAAAGGAATTGTAAATTTCATTCAAAGAATTTATACTTTTTTTGGGATTCTTTTTATCTTTCTGCCTAGGATTAAAAACACAACCATTTTCTCCCATCAAATGGATTCTCCATCCGTTTTCACCAGGTTCAATGTTTTGGTGACAAAGAGGGCAGTGGTTAGCCTCATTACTTGATTTAGCCACTAGAAGAAATAAATAAATGTAAAACAGGGAAGAACACAAATGAAGCTTTTGCACAGTGAACTGGGGTCTATTATGAACCTCATATCAGCTTTCAATTTGTAATTTCCTAATAAAATATTTTTTATAGTTCTCCTTACTAATATGTGGTACGTATCAGCCAACCTGCATTTTTTAAGATGCAGAAGAAATTACTCAAAATGCAAAAGATTTAACGTGTTTTCAATTTTGAATACTTACAGGGTATCCACGCACCTAGAAAGTGATGAAAAGTCACGAATTTCAGTACTGAACAAAATTTGTCATGATTTTTACTATTTTTTAAAAAAAATCANATATTGTAGCCTAAAAAATATTTCAAAATTTATTTTAATTTTATGTAGGGTCTAAAATGAATATCAAAATTTTATTTTGTCTATTCTAACTCATTTACTACACACATCTCTTGGACTAATTAAATATGATTACCTCGTTAGGAAATTTTAATAGAAAATTAAAATTGCTAAAAAGTTAAATATGAAAAGGTTATGCCATAACGTATGCAAATGTAAGTTTCTTACATAAGGTCAAAATATCAGTCAACCAATATAATCTGAACATTAGCTTTATTTCTTTTTACAAGCAAAAAAAATGTGCAACAATTAAATTTAGCATGAAATCTCCGAGTATCAAAATGTTCAGTTTTTCCTTCCAGGACTTCTTGACAGTTTTACTTTTTCTTTAAAATAACTGAAAATAAAAGAAATTAAAATTTACTTTGATTCAAACCATTATAATACATGATCTAAAAACTTACGCTTTTAGACATTTTTAACACTTGGGGTAGAATGACACTAAAATTTTTTAATTGCAATAGTTGTCAGCAGAATCAAAAATGTGTTGTCAGAACATTGGTTTTAAATTTAACTTGGTTGGCTTGGCAACTTTGTGACCTCTCAGACAAGGGCTCAACATAGTACCAGCCAGGCTATCCCAACTGAGTACAGTAAATATGTTATGCCTGATGTATATATTTGTTATATCTGATGTTTAAACCCTTTAATATACAAAAAAAAACGAGAAGTTAGTATACCTATTTTTTAATTTTGAGAATGAATCACACAAATTAATGCAATTAACATAATTATTAAGAAATAAATTGCAGAAATAAAATTAATGCAAAATTTTTTTCTTTACTCTCATGAACAGTATCCACTACTAATTAACATATTTAATGCATGTATGATTGAGTATCATATGGAAATCGAATACCACTACATTGTCTAATTATATTCAAAAACTTAAATGCTAGAAGATGCATTCCTCCAAGACACAATTTGTAAGCATTTTTTTATATATTTATTTTACACTTTTGAATAAGAGTTAAGCCGGAATACGTTTACCCAAACAATTAAAAATCTTAAGTACTAATTTTATACTTAACTCAAAATTTGAGTTGGGGTAGTATGAATTATAATAGTGAAATACGTATATTTATAAAAACTACAGTGATGCACTTTTGAAAATTTGTCTTTGACATTGCAAACAAATCGTAAATTTCAAAGAATTTATACTTTTTTTGGGATTCTTTTTATCTTTCTGCCTAGGATTAAAAACACAACCATTTTCTCCCATCAAATGGATTCTCCATCCGTTTTCACCAGGTTCAATGTTTTGGTGACAAAGAGGGCAGTGGTTAGCCTCATTACTTGATTTAGCCACTTGAAGAAAGAAATAACAAATGTAAAACAGGGAAGAACACAAATGAAGCTTTTGCACAGTGAAGTGGGGTCTATTATGAACCTCTTATCAGCTTTCAATTTGTAATTCCCTAATAAAATATTTTTTATAGTTCTCCTTACTAATATGTGGTACATATCAGCCAACCTGCATTTTTTAAGATGCAGAAGAAATTACTCAAAAGATTTAACGTGTTTTCAATTTTGAATACTTGCAGGGTATCCGCGCACCTAGAAAGTGATGAAAAGTCATGAGTTTCAGTATTGAACAAAATTTGTCATGATTTTTACTATTTTTTAAAAAAAATCATGGAAAGTCATGGATTTACGTCTCTGAAAAATCTAATTTTTAAAATGGAATCCCCCCCCCCCAATTTCATCCTGTTCCAAATATCTGAATTCCTAACAAAACCACCACTTAGTCATATTTTATTAGAATATAAAATGATTTCATTATGTTCTTTAAAAATTATGGTATTCTTTCAGAAAATGAAAGAAAAAACATCACTTCTAGAGCGAATTATCTTTTAAACTTCTGTGATTTAAGAATTTTTATTATTTATTTTTTTTTATTTTATCAATTTAAAATTCTAATTGAAGGCGATTTTTTTTTATTACGAAGTGAGGACAGAAAAATCAGGAGTATTTCTTTCCTTTCCTNTTAACTTCTGTGATTTAAGAATTCTTATTATTTTTTTTTTTTTTAATTTTATCAATTTAAAATTCTAGTTGAAGGAGATTTTTTTTTTTAATTACGAAATGAGAACAGAAAAATCAGGAGTATTTCTTTCCTTTCTGATGAACAAGAAAAGTATCTTGAGAATATAATTCTGCAGAAAAAAATTTTTTGTTTTTGTATTTTCTTCAGCTATTTTTTGTTTCAACTCGTTCTTTACTCCGTTTTTTAAATTTAAAATCTATAAATAGGAAGATGCAGAGTATAACAGTCATGGTTATAACTATCATTTCAATTAATGTTATTATGATGCTTTTTTTAAATTTATTGTTGCTTTTTTGTCGGAGAAAATAGTAACTTTGTTAAGTCATGAAAAATTCTTGGAATGAGTCACGGAAAATCATGAAATTGAAAATCTAAAATGTAGCAGATACCCTGTACAAAGAATTAACAGTAAATTTAAACTTTTATTAGATTTACAACTTATACGTTTTAAAGTTGTAATTTATCACATAACTAGGTACAAATATCTTTATCTACAATTGTGTTTCGGAAAGATATTGGAATCTTAAAATGTTTTCTTTTTTTTAATTCATTAAATTACCATCAGCAGTTATGACAGTATGTTGTACTATTATAAGCAATATAGCATGTTTTAACACAACCAGATTAAATAAATCTTAAATAGAAGAAACATATGATCCCTTTTTTTTTGTACTTTCAGATGTTTCATATCCTATACTTTGCTTAATTTAATGAAATACAGCAAAAATTCAAGATGTCATTGTTTAAGTAATGCTGGAGAGACTATCTTCACTTGCGTACATGTGTATACGTAAGCAAGGGTGCCAATAGTGCGAACATGGTTCGGAAAAAATTCAGGCAGCCTGAGGAAATTTTTGGTATTTTGGTAAAAATGCTACGAAGTTTTATAAAAACATGTCACTCGACAAAATTTTTATCAGTAAAAAACCTATGTATCAATTTGTTTAATTGCTACTTTGTGTGAATTTTGATTTTTATTATCCTCAATGCATATGCTAGTTTATTCGAGAATTGTATAAAATTAGATGAATTTTTTTACGAAAAAATAAAAAAAATTTTGTAATAACATATCAACTCTATTTTCTAAAAATATTATGAAAATGTTATCAACTAAAAAAAAGGCTATATAATTTTGGGGAAAAGCCATATAATTTCGAACCAGAAAAAAATGTGTTCTGGGAAAATATTATACTCTGAGAATTTTCTGCACCCCTCTGTGCATAAAAAGTTCTAAAATGGTACAAAATTTAAATATATATTTTCATAATGCAGAAGATTTAAATATCAGAGCAGAAATATACAGAATGGGGTATAAATGAAGAAAGCTTCTGCAATATGTAGGAAGAGCTGGCAGCTATGGCTGTTACATGGTAACTGTTTTTTTTATTTTTTTAATTACTGCAAAAAATATTTCAAAATTTAGTGATCTGTTTATCCATAATAGACTCCATTTTTTTATGTGAGAGAAGCAGAAATGTTTTATATTTGTAATAATTAAAAATTATGAAGTAGTTACTAGTGCAAGTCCTGATTTTTACATGGTCTTCATAATTCAAAGAAGGCACTGCTTCAAGACACAGGGGACACTGCTTGTATTGACTTTTGGCTACACACTCATCTAGGTGATGTTCTGTTAAACCAGCAATTTCAACTATCTATAAAATATAAGTCCATTTTAAACACTTGCAACACTTTTCCCTATAAAAAAAAAAACAGATACCACACCCTTTTTCATTACAAAATTAAGACTCTTCATAAAAGTAAACATTTTTCATAATTATTTATTGTTTTAAATGTAATTTTCAAAATCAAATGGTGGATAATATTTCACTTAGGAACAAAAATTATTTTTTGTGATAAAAGCAAGACTTCATACATTTTTGTCAGGAGGTAGGGACTTATTAAACACTTCAAGATTAAATATATTATCTTCAAATTTGCTTAGTAAAATAATTAAAAATAACAGAATAATGTGTTCACAATGTGCAATGGTTTATTTGTTTATTAATTTTTTTTTTATTGCAAACAAAACAACATTTTTGCAGGATGTTTCCGCACAGGCCCTTGCATGATCCCAGAGGATTTTTTATTTTAAGATAATTTAATATAGTAAAGGTTAGATTAAAACGTAAAATTAGCAGTTGTCTTTCAACCTTTAGGGATAAAATATAGATAAATATTTAGAGTATACAATTCAAAACTCTACAGCAAAAAAAAATAGATACATTTTATCACAATCAATTAAAGAGCTTGGATAAATATAATGATAAGCCACACATTCTAGTTGCTCAGGAGAGCATTTCTAATGAAAAAATGCAACTATGTCGCCAAATGCAATACAATATTCCTATGTATTGTGCTGTTATATAGCAGAAATTATAGATATTAAATACTTAACTGAAATTTGGAAAGTCAGAAATACTACTCTAGCAGAAAACGAAAAAAGTTATAAGATTTAAAATAATAAGATTTAATAATTAAAATAAAACAAATTTGGTTTTAGCTGCTTTAAGCGCTTTCCCATTTTGATTTATTATTTTAAATGTTACTTACTTATTTTTCTTTTCTGAATTTGTAAATCAGTTTCATTCTTTGATTAGATACCTAACTGAAAATAATATTAAGATATAGTTGATGAACAATGTCAACTTTGGAAGAAGTGTAATTTATCACTGTAAAGCTCCAATCTTTTCAACTGTATTGCACGACTGTTGATCAGGAGGTAAGTCAATAATGGCTATGCAAAGCTGTTTAATAACTAAATTGACTGATTTTTTTCCCAAAGAATAAAGATGTTGTTGCTTCTTGATAAAGAAAAGTCCAGTTTTGAACTAAGCTTGTTAATTTCTAACCAGACAAGGGATCTTAATGTAGCAAGGTAAAGAGTCAATAGACACTTCATGCATAAGTAAAAGTATATATTTCAATTATTTTCTTATTTCTTTAGTTTTAAAAAAATATAAAATGCTCCTTAGTTTTGAAGATTGCTTAGTGGTTGAAAAACTGATCATTAAATTAAAAGTTATTTAGAATGTCTTTTTTTTTCTACCGACTCCGAAAATAACACATTTCAATAATTGAAATAAAGAGTTGGAGTTGAAATTTAAAAATACTTAACCTGGTTACAGTTAGAGCATCTGGCAAGCATAGGGCACTCCAGGTCATAATGTTCATCCAATCCATCAGGCGTAAACTTGTCACTAGTCTTCTCGCAAAATATGCAAGTTCTATAAATATAGGTAATTTATAATTAATTTTGCTTAATATTTTTTTGGCATTCAGTATTAAATTATATTTTGACGAGAAAATTCATAACTGTGAAACTTGGTCAAAGAATTTCTATTGGTACCTTCAACTTTTCTGTATGCTTTGAAAATAATTAATATTTTTTTATTTCAAACATTTGTAAACTATATATATATATATATTTGCTTTCTTTAATCCTAAATATTAAAATTTATTTTTGAAATATATTTTTAAAATGAGTTGAATATGTTTTTATGAGATTGACTTTTAAAAGAAAAAATATATTTCTATTAGAAAGATAAAATAATGATTCTAAAGTGCATTTTTAACAGTTTTTGTACAAAAAAAAATTTATATTTTTATTTGCAGATTAAATAAAAACAGAAAATATTCAGTACTATTATTTAGTCAATCAATATATAAAATATAATAAAAATCTCATTTTTATACAGCTTAAACATTACACTAAGAAAAAGATATACTTCGAATGCTTATATGTTTACAGTTAGTACAATAATGTCAATTCCAACAGAAATATAAATCTAATGAAATATTTATGTAATTACAAATCAATTAAGCTTTTTCATTCAATTATACTTACGTTATTAATTGTACTTATAAAATATTTTAAATTTATTCTGGTATGTTTATGTTTAAATTGTTTTCTAATTTAAACTCCATTTAATAAAACCAAATGCTTTAAAAAAATACTGCTACAATGTTTTAAAAATTTTTGTACACTTTTAGGTTTGCTGCCACAAAATAATAGTTGATGGTCATTTGATAACTTTCACTCTCAGAATTGAACAATAACATACATATTTACTTAGTTATAGATGATTAATACAAAATGTAAACTTAATGTATAACTATGTTTGAGTTCAGATATAGAGACAAATGTAAGCATTATAGGTTAAAAGAAAAATTATTAGATTAAACACTTATTATTACCATGGAATACAGGTAGTAGGTCTTATAATAAGTAACACTGTGTCCATGGACCATACCATGAAGAAATAAATATTTATTTTTGAATTAAAAGAATTGATCCAGTAATTTTAAATTTTCTTATATTCTATAATTCTTCATTGTTGTTATCTTAAAAAAAAAAATTAAGCTAGGGGTGAAAAACTTCTTTTGTAAAAATGGTACAAAAGAAATAGGATCTCATGAGTGCCACGAATTTAGTTTTCATACCAATTAATAAACTTAATTATTTATAAGCATAACAGGGGTGCGTCCAGACATTTTGTGAAAGGTTTGTAAAATTGTGAAAAAATTACTTTTAATTTGTGAATATAAAATAAGCGTTAAGTCACATTCTTTCAACCAGGGTCCTGTTTTGTGAGTTTGTGCAAAAAGGGTCCTGTTATTTGGTATTTAGCCTATACTGCTCAACACAGAATATTCATTTCGAGTGAATAATGGAAACAAAATCGCTCACATTTTTAATAATTTCAATTGACATATTTTAAATAACACAACTTAGTAATGAATCGCTTTCAATGTGTTACACATTAAGTAANAAAGCTCTCTTAATTTTAAGAATATCATGATGGTTATAAAGTAGTATTTTTGGGCTTAGATCATTAATCATTGCCATATCTTAAATTACATTGCATAAGCACAGTTTTCTTATTGTTTATAATAAAGCATTTTTTAATTCATAACAAACAATATACGTTTTATGCTTAGTTGTTTTTTCATGATAATTTTATCAAACAAAATAAAATAAACAAAACTAAAATAATAAAAAGAAAAACAAAATAATCATAATTTTGATCCTTACAACAAAGAAAAAAGATAGAAACTAAATAAAAAAATATTACTTGTTTGTCAATTTTATCAAAAGCCTGAATCAGACGACGATGCATTATGTTCCGCTTAGAGGAATCAGAATCAAAAGGTATGAACTTCCGAACTTTATTCCCATTTTGCTCATAGAGATGAAGAATCACCCTCTCCGCAGAGGATCTTACAGAAGCAGACGGATGATGCAACGCATCTACAAAGAATGGCATAACTTTTGGCAGACTCAATGAACTGGGAAAAACATACAAAACAATTTATAAACTGTGCAACAACTAAAATATTTTCTAATACAGTAGGGAACCGATTATCCGGAACGGTCGGGACCATCGCTATTCCGGATAACTGGTTTTTCCGGTTTTCTGAATTGCTACAAAAAGCCGTTTTTTTATTGTTAAACCCAACTTTAAAAATAAAAAAAAATTGGAAATAATCTTAAAAATAAAAAAAAACGATGAAGTAATACACTAATGATTATTTCCAAAATGATGGTAAGGTAAACATCTTTAAAAAAAGAAAGAAAAATCGTAAAATCTTATGAGGAAAAAAAAAAAAATTTTTTTTAAATGGCGAGAAAATTTAGCGAATTTTGTTCCGGTTTTTTGGTTTTCCGGTTTTCTGATTTCCGGATAACGGGTTCTGTACTGTATATAAATTATTCCACAGAGATAACCCAGGATTATTCTAGGATTATACATACAATCCCGGATCGAAAAATTCCATGCATTCAGGTATTTAAAAAATAATTGCTAGTACCTAGTATTTTAGTATTATGAACTGTGCAATCTATACAAAACGATTTTTAAACTGTACAATAACTAAAATATTTTCTAATATATAAATTATTCCACAGAGATAACCCAGGATTATTCTAGGATTATACATACAATCCCGGATCGAAAAATTCCATGCATTCAGGTATTTAAAAAATAATTGCTAGTACCTAGTATTTTAGTATTATGAACTGTGCAATCTATACAAAACGATTTTTAAACTGTACAATAACTAAAATATTTTCTAATATATAAATTATTCCACAGAGATAACCCAGGATTATTCTAGGATTATACATACAATCCCGGATCGAAAAATCCCATGCATTCTGGTATTTAAAAAATAATTGCTAGTACCTAGTATTTTAGTATTAAAAATGAACTGTGCAATCTATACAAAACAATTTATAAACTGTACAATACCTAAAATATTTTCTAATATATAAATTATTCTACAGATATAACCCAGGATTATACATACAATACATATAATCAAGGATTGAAAAATTCCCAGCACTATGGTATTCAACCCACTGGCGGTTAAGGAAATGGGCAAAATTGGGAGAATGTTTCTCACCTACACCATTAACATGGGAAAACCGGTTTTGCTATGCAGAGAAGACTGCAGGCTAAAATGCGACTTATTACATGCAGAACCGTCAGAGGGTTAAAAAATAATTGCTAGTACCCAGTATTTTAGTATTAAAAATGACCAAGCATAAGTGCCAGCAATCGTAGATTCATTTCACATCATTATTGAGCTATGGAGGAGGTATAGCAAAGTGTAAAGAATGCAATAATTTCTTGGTTGTAATTGATTTGTATCATCTATTTTTACATAATTTTATTTCTTTATGTTAAAGGAACAAACATCAAAAGGAAAAATGAAAGGCTTAAAAGCTTTTTTGTGAAATAATAATTTTAAAATTATTATTTGTTAATTCCTCACAACTAATTTCTAATAAAAATAAAGTACGCTTTGATTCTATTAAGGTTATTGGTTTAGGTCTATAATGTTTGAACCAGAAGTTATTGATGACAAAAGAATTCAAACTGCTCATCATGCTCACAGCTCATCAAATACAATATATAATATGGCTATAAATATTATTGCTGATTAGACACTATTAAAATATACATTAAGCCTAGCAGGGGTCTGTCTAGGTTTTTCTGAAAGGTACCTATTTTGTGAAAATTTAGACATAATTTGGGAAAATTAAAAATTATATTAAAAAATCAACACAAAAATATGGCACAAAATATGGATCTATCGTTTCTTACAGGATACAAAAATAAAATTTTAAGAAAAAGTCTTTTTTTCCTAAAGTTGAATTTGTGAACGTACTGCTAAACGGTAGTAAATTTGGCCTGGACAGACCCCTACCTAGATAACTCAATTTAAATCAGTGTTACTCTGCAAATTATCCTTTGTCTCATAGACAACATGCTCATTTTCATATTTTCCTTATTCATATCAAACACATTTGCTTAACACCAGGGAAATAATCTTATATTTGTATTAAAATATGAATAAATGATAGTATGTAACATTTGCAATCCTTAAAGACATTAAAGTGAAACATTAAAAATATCATTTCACTAATCTATCAAAAGGTGAGTGGCCAAAGTTTCGATTAAAAAATCTTTGAAGGGGTTAAATAACCTTCTTGTTTAAACTTAATTGCAAGTCTAAAAAGATGTTGGATAACTCAGTTGTGTAATATAATCAAGCGTAAGATAATCAGTGTATATTTAAATGTAGATTAAGAAATACCTGTGTGATTGGGGTGGATAAACTTTCACAAGTTTCTCTGCTAATTCACATCTTCCAACAGCTAAACGAACATTTGGATTATTCTGAAGTAGACTCAGCACATATAAAGGAATGATCTGTAAATTCTATAAAACAAAATATAATGATCTAAATTATAAATAACCAAATTATGAACATAATAGAAGATGTCATGAGTTGAGAGGCCAAAAGTCATAAATAAACGCATGTCAAATAATGAAAAATGTTACTTGATTAAAAACTTCATTCTCTTAAAAAAATATACAAATTGGAAATAACAGTCGACATGTTTTGCGTGCTCAAAAACAGGCGCTCATGTTCAAGACTTTCCAGAAGTGAATGAGAAGAAATAAAAGTGATTTGAAATATAAAACGATTCTTCGTTTTATATTTCATTCCTATTTTTTCAATTTTATTTGTTTTATATTTTTCAACTTCGATTAAAAATTTCATTTGCTTCAAAAATATACAAATTGGAAATAACAGTCGACATGTTTTAAGTGCTCATTTTCAAGATTTGCCAGAAGTGAATGAGATGAAATAAAAGTGATTTGAAATATAAACAATCCTTAGATTTATATTTCATTTATATTTTTCAATTTTATTCGTTTCATATTTTTCAACTTCATTTTACATTCTTCATTGCCAATTTTTCATTTTGTATTTCTAATCCCTTTTTTCCCCTCTCATTCACATCTGACAAGTCTTGAAAAGGAGGGCCTGTTTTGAGTGTTTGAAACATATGGATTGTTATTTCCAATTTGTATATTTTTGAAGAAAATGAAGTTTTTAACCCAGAAATAATTTACTGATTCAGTTTCATAGGATCATTTATTTAATAAAAAAATATATTATTAAACAAAATATTTTTTTGAAAAGCAATCTTTCACGGTGACAAATTCAATTTTTTTTCCTCTCCTCTATAAATGTATAGAAAATTATTATAAATATGATTCCAATATTTTAAAAAATTTTCAAAACCCCATTAGTAGCTTTGAAAGAGTTTTGAGAAAGATGAAATTTAAAAAACTTAAATTTGGTAATTGAGTAAAGAAATTGGAAATTGGTTTCCATATAATTTCTAAGACAATGTTGAAAGAAAGAAATAAGTTTTTTTATAGATTGACATGGGATGCATGAAAGTAGAACGTGTATCTAGAACACTCTTAAAGTTGATTTTGCTATCAACACCTTCTCTTTAGATTTAAAACTATACAATATATGGGTATTTTAAATATAAATATTAAAAAAAACATGTTTTTTTTAAAACATTTCTACAAGTATTCACAAGTTTTATTAAAAAGAAACATTAATGTTTTTCTCTTTGTGCTCAGCCAATTAGGTTTATTACATACATGCATATAAAAATTGAATTAAGTGTTGAATGTGGACAAAAAGTCCAAGATCGAGGAAATTAATTACTGTCTGCAATATTTCATATTTTCTTTTAGATTTTTAATCAGAACTAACAACAGTGACAATTAATTTTTTGTTTGTAGATAAAGTTTGTAGACAAACTAAAAAGTTTGTAGAGTTTTTGTTGTGGAGACAAATGCCTTTGGTGCTTGATAAAAAGAAGAAAAAAAGATTTATTTCAATTAAAAAACCTTTAAAAATATAATCAAAAAGCAGGAAGAGGTAGTTTGCAAATCAAATTATCAAATGCATAAAAAATAATAATCATCATTAAACAAATATATTTTTTTCTGATTTCTTTTTCTTTTACATTCTACCAGTATCCTATTTAAAGTGATATCTATAAAATTATAATTTATATTCGAATTCATGATAGAACACCATTCATAACATTCAATGTTTTTTAGTACTTCTGCTGAAAAGAAAGAACACTTCAATAAACTGAATAAAATTGATCAAAAATGTACCTCTAATTCAGAATAAGGAAGTTGACTAGTTAGATATTCCATTGATGCATTTTTTAATCGTGGTGCCTGAAAAATACGATAAAATATAAGCAATGCAATTTAAATAATCTTTACTCAATCTATACATAAAAATCAAAGTAATAAGAATTTTTTAAAAAAAATTAAACCAATACTGATCTAGCAAGTTTGTCTATATTTGAAGAACCTGGTCACAAAATAAAATGGTTGTTACTTTAATGTAGAGATGACATTACAGCTCAAATTAATACTATTCTTTTGGTACAACAATTTAACAAATCTACACAGTTTCAAAACCTTTTTAACTTTCAATTTGCTTTTTTTTTTAACTTTGTCCGGGTCAATTAAAATCATTTTAAACTAAGCCTTTTATTAACGTTTAAAGAGGCAGAAATGAGAAACATTTATTTTTAAAGAAAAATATAATTAGTGTAATGATTTAGAGAAAGTATGTATTTCTGTAAGGTAGTAATAAAAGCTAAGATTTTGATCATAAAAAAAGTCTTAAAAAGGTTATAAACAAAACAAAAAAATACTCTTAAAACCACCAAAAAAATGCTTTGAAATTGTACTTTTAATTAAACAAGAATTTCATTATGAGACATTTTCTTTAAATGCATAAATTTATCTATAACATATAATTGTATGTAAGAGAAATTGAGTTGCAATTTTCCTTTTAAGTTTGAAAAAAATTTTTAATGCTACAGGACACACACACACACACAACAAAAGCTAAAGAAGAAAGGACAAATATATATATACATAGATTGATTTTTATACAAGTAACAGATACATACAATATAGATGGTAATATTATTAAAAACAAAGTCTTGAAATTGAAAAATTCTCCCTAAATTCAAAATATCTTAACAAGAAAAGACACTGAAAACTCTCAGCACATGCTATAAAAAATGCGAAAAGTTGATAATATTACCAAAATCAAAAATTTTAGCAATAACCACCTATTGTTACTAAAAATCTTAAGTGATAACTGTCACTAACAGAATGCGCTTAAATGTCTCACAATAGATGCATAAAAAGTGAGAGTTTCATTTGAAAATTTCGGAAATATATTTTTAGACATCAATCTTATATGTTTTACAAATTGAAAGATACATTGAAACAGGAACTTGGGTTAAAATAAATAAAGAAACAAAAACAATTGGGTCTATAGATATCAGTTCTATTGATATAAGCTCTGCTTAAAAAAAAATTAAAAAGCCCTTTTCAAATGTAGAAGCAACACTGAAAAATAATTCAGGTGAGGTCTTGGGACTTTAGAATGGGCCACATTTTTCTATGGGTGACATTTTTACAAACTGCTCCTTAGTATTGTTTACTGATAGGTACTCAACAGTCTTTTTTATCATTTTCAAGGTAAAAAAGGGACCATAATACATGGAAATATCTTAAAACCAAGATGAAAATCACAAAAAACACTATCCAAAATAGTTTGAAAATGTAACTTATCAATATGCAGCTCCAAAATTTCAGTTTACTACTATACTCATATAGATTTGTTTTACTAAAAGTAAAAAGTGGTGTAAACTTAAATTATTATCAAATTTAAAACCACATTGTGTAAGAGGTACATTACACGATCATTCATATGCATTTGTTTAAAAAAAGCGGTGCAAAATAATTTTTTTTTCTTCCTTTTTGAGAAATAGGATTAAACTTTTAATGCCCTAAATTTTATGAAGCTTTTAGCATTATTAATTTCTCAGCAATATATATTTACACTCATATTTAAAAAAATATATACTTTTAAAAAAATATACACTCATATTTAAAAAAGATATAATGAACACAAAAATTTTTTATTGAAACTTTTGATAAAAAAAAAAAAATATTGTTAAAATTACAAGTCAAAATATCACTGTTAGAAAAAAAAAATGAGAAAAATTTTTGTGGTTGGTTATGATAAAACAAATTAAAATTATTTTGGGTAAAAAGTCATTTTATAGCAGTAGTTTATTATTTTTGCAAAATCTAAAAGTTAATTTTATTAGACATCAACAGAAAATACAGCATGAAAACTAACTAACAGTAAATACTAACATAACTAACTAAATACTAACAGAAAAACCCATTTTTCCTACATAAGGTAAGTTTTTTTGTCAAAAAAGTACAGTTAAAAAAAAACAGTTAAAGTACAGTTAAATAAAAGTTCAGTTGAGTCATAACAGTCCTGTCAATTACTAGGGCATGATTCTATTGTTTAATATGCTAAAATATTTTTTTAGTTCTATTTAAGGCACTTTCCTTTTCCTTTAATCTTATTTCAATGAAATCAAAACACAATTAAAAGGAAGATTTCTATATACTAAAACCAACTGTATATTAATTCATAACATTAGTAATTAATAAATCTATAAAGTGCATTTATTATAACCTTTAAATTAACAACAACAATCACAATGACCACAAATGTTCCACAGAATGGAGTATTCATACTAATAAGATTTTGTCAATTTAAAACTCTTAGAATATTGTCCCACTGGCTCAGAGTACAATAGAAGTTACGTTAGGGTCCATAACTGAACACAGATATCACTTTTTTTGTAAGCCAAAGAAGATAAGCAATAGTTTTAAAAGAGTCTACTTTTATAAAGATTTAAGCTTGCAATAAGTAAGAAAGTCTTTCATCAATTAAGACAAAGTTAAAAAAAATAGTACTCTAAGTCAGTTTTCCCAATTTTTGTAGCCATGGAACCATAAATGACCTTTTGCAGAATCTAAAAGCTCATTAGCAGTTGTGGACATATTAACAAAAGAAAAAGCACTAATTATTCAATTCAAATTCATAGCAAAAAAAAAAAATTTTTTTTCAATCTTTTTAGTCTGCAAGAAATTTAAAATTAGGGTTCATGTCAGACTTGAATTTGTAGGTCCAATGCAACATGAAGTCTAATTCGGCATTTGTTTTGGGGGTAAGTATAAGATGAAAATGAAGAAAATGAGATAAATTATTGTATTTGTTGAAATGAGAAAAAAATGTAACAAGTCTTTTGAATAGTTATCAGGGAAGCATATTTCTCTGATCGCTGAAGTTAGTAGTTTTATTTTAAGTTGAAAACGTCAAAGAGAAATAATAAGAAATTTTTTTTTATAGATGCACTCAGTTTTATACTTGATTCAATATATTAAAAAAATTATCGTTCTTAAAATTTTAGTACTTTCTTTATCCTTGGAAATGACCTAATTTTGGAAAAGCAGTCAAAATATTAATAATTATTGACTGGGTTGAAACCAGGTGGTTCCACTGGTTAAAAAAAGTCCAAATTCTTAGAAATTTTGTGACCCTACCATGTAATTCTAGGGTTTTCTACATGGTTGCCACTGATATCTGGAGGGAAAAAATTCCCTGTGTTTTCCTTGCACATATCATACATAGCATATTAAGAGGAAACACACATTCATAGTGTTCTTGTGAGCTATATTGGGATAACGATGTTAGTTTCAGTTACTGGAAATACTTAGAGAAATAAGATACAGCTCAACATAAAATAAATAATGCTATAATAAATGAATTAATATAATACAGATGAACTATCATCTTTAACTATCTCATAGATTAAGCTTTGAGAGATCTGCATTATTTAAAAGACAAAAATAAGAAATAAAAATTCCCTGTTTCTTTTCCAATTTGTAAAGAAAAATTCAAAATTCCCTGCATTTATCCTGTTATTTCAGATGATTTTTAAATTCCCTGTTTTTTCCAGGTTTTCTCTATTGTCTCAGAGAAGTGGAAATCTTGTCCTAGGAACATTTTATATAAACCTCTTAGTCATTAAATTTACCAACAGACCAATGAATATTTTATACTTACTGTGTCACCCAATTTATTAATTATTTCCGGCATACTCTGCTCAACAAGAAATGAAGCATCCACTTTAGAAGCTCTACACAAATGTAAATATTAACTTACGTTATTTTAAAAATGTAACAATTACTAAATACAAAATTTGTAATCAGAAAAGCAACAAAGAAAATAATTATCTAAAAGAAAATATAAAGGGATAGGAGATAAAAAATATAAAGAAACTCTATAAGCAAAAAAGAAAAATTATAACCATGTAACTGTTTGTAACAAGCGGAAGCTTGTTACAAACAGTTACATAGATTTAAAACAACTTTAATATTAATATAAAGATAAAAAGGGTTATATTCAACCAAAAAAAAGCACAAATAAGAATAGTTTGAGCAGATACAGTTGTTTTAGCATTGTAAACAAAGTATCATTCTCAATATGAAGACATATTATAACATTTAATTTATTTGTGGGTTTTTTTTTTCATTTCTAAAAATGTAACATATATAATATTATAAATGTAACATAACATAAATGTAACTTATACTTTTATGTAACAGTTGTTGAAACTACAAGGTAGTGTTAATTTACACATTTTTTCAGTTTATGTAGATATAAGATTTCTTCATTCAAAAAATTTTTAATTTAATATTATTTACTTAAATGAATGTGTGTAACTTTAAACTAATAAAGAAAACAATCTATTTTTTATAACATTAGAAAAATCAGCTAGCTATGAATGTATACATGGATTGTATATTTATGTGTGCAATTATGGTTCTCACTTGCCCAGAAGAAAGTAAATAGTGGTGGATAGTTTATAATTATCTAAGAACCATAAAAGCTTTGTTGTCTTAGCTTTTACATTTCTTCTTCAAAAATTTCAGCAGTAATAGATTTCTTATGCAAATATGAATATGTAACTGCTAGTAAACAATTTTCTTCACCTTTTAATAATAAATCAAAGTATGCAGGTTGTAATGTTTTTATTTATTTATTTTTTTTTTTTTATTATCTAAGACTACAAGAGGTAAAGTTGAGAATTACAAATTAATCTCGTCACCAACAGAAAAATTCTGCAAACTTGTGTGTATTTTTGTAAAGTACAAAAGATTTATAATTTGGAAACATTCATAATCTGAACAAAATAAACAAATAAAAGAAATTTCATATAATATCTAATTTCAAAAAGAGCTTGAATATGATAATGTTTAAAAACTTGCTAATGAGACGCTAAATTGTTTCTTTTTTAGAATTGAACCTCTATGTTTACTACCAATAATATCATCCATAATTAGGACCTAGGGTCTGGTTCGTGATAGTTGGTCTCTTTTATCCTGAAATTGGGATCTGAAGTCAAACTCATCATTACAACTGAAGAGGTTATTTCCATAAACACAAACAAAATTTTATAAAAATTATTTAAGTTCCTTTAGCAACTGAGAATAACTTTACTACGAAATTTCCACAGTTGTAAAAAAATAAAAATCATCTTCAAATATTTAAAACACAGAGCAGTAATTATATAATACAAAAATCTTAAAATTATAATTTAGAAGTAATTTGTAAATACTAAATTTACACTATATTACGATCTTCAGTTGTATCAAACTAATAGCTAAGAAATTTATATTTATTAAAATACTTACTGATGAGTTGGAATGAATGTTTGAAAGCAATAGGCAAGAATGTTCAATGCAGCAGTATATATCTAAAACGAAAGCATAATACATTTGATGAACGTTATTACAAATACAACACATTTAAACTCTTACAAAGTCTAAGCACATATAATTCTTTCTCAAAAAAAAATTTAAATGTTACGCATGTCTGCAAAATTCTCCCTCCCTGAAATAAAAATTAACTACGATGATTAATAATTCTAATTTCAATTGAATAGACAAATAAATAAAATTTGTAAGCTTTGATTAAAATGTCAAGTGAATTATTAAACGGATTGAAGTTTATACCAATATGATAAATTAAATTGTTACCTAAATGTAATAGATTATTTTAATACATATATTGGGAGTATTTCATCACATCATAATCAGTTTTATGAAACTAAACTAAAATATTTTTCCCTTTAAAACTTTTTTATTTATTCTAATGTTAGGTTGAGGAGAATATAGAGTTTATTAGCTAAAAAGCTAATTTAAAAAACTTAAATGACAATTCACAATTGAGGCAAAAGAAATAGCATTTGTTATAAACTAAATGTGACACAAAAACAATAAAAAAATTTTTTAGAAAAGAGCGAAGTTTCACTTGAAATTTCTAATTTAGGGTAAAAGACCCCGAGAAGGTACAATCAAAAGAAAATATCTCTTAAGAGCCTTAGTTTAATAAATTTTATTAAAAAATAACTAATTGTCAAGTTTGATAGAAATTTACAACATTTTACATTGATGTATATGAACTTTAACACAGATATTCATCGCATCAAAAACACACAAAACCATTAAGAGGAAGAAGTTAAATTGAAAGCAGTGGCAAATCCAGCGGGGAGGGGGGGTCATAGGGGTCATGACCTCCCCTCCCCCTCCCCCCCCCCGAAAAAATTTGAAAAATAAAAATAATAATTCTTTCAATAGTTTACAAAAGTTACAAAAATTATTTAAGGGGGCATATACGCCTATGTAGGTCGGAAAAATCAATTTTTTTTCCAGCTAATTATGTTCTTCACTGTTTTAAGACTTGTAAGCAGGGCTTGAAGTGCCCAACGATCTTTCCAAGATTATTAATGGCTGTGACATCGATTTGTACCCATCAATCAATATGTTGTTGAGAATTTTAATAACTCTGCCAGTTAGTGCAGCAACAGCAGAACGTTCCCTTTCAGCTCTTCGATGTCTCAAAACTTGGCTTAGAGCAACTCAAAATCAAAAACGATTAAGTGGACTATTATTAAACATTCATCGAAAAATTGATTTGGATATTCAAAAAATCATTGACAGTTTTCTAAAAAAACTCATTACATTTATTATTTAAAGATTTTGAATACTTGAATTATGTATGTATTGTCCTATTGTTCATTATGAAAAAAAAAAACAAATAAGAAGACCAGCATTAAAAACCCCAGTTTTTTTTTTCAAAAAAATATTCAAAAAAAAATTTTTTTTTATAAAAAAAATTATTTGTGGTGAGGGGGGGAATCTGAATCTATGATCCTCCCCAGGAAAAATTTCTGGATCCGCCCGATTTAAACATGCCACAATAACTACAAAATTATCAGCAAAAAAAAATTAAGGTTAGTCCTTTGCACCTCTAATAATCTTCGTATATATTAACTAAGAATTTTAAGGAGTTCAATTTCCTCCTATTTCGTTTCTTGCACTCTTAAATAATCCTCACACACATGGTCCTAAATACAAAAAAGCGAGTAGAATTCTGCATAACTCATTTAATGAAGCACAAGAAAGAACTTACTGAAACCACTTTGTCACAAAGGGCTTTTTGAAGGAGAAATGCAGCTCCTTTGATAACATCACTCGGTGGATGAAATTTTCCTTTCTTTTGATATTTTTCCAAAAAGATTTGCAATTCTTTCATGGCTTCCTCTCTCTGATCAAATGACTTTGAATACATTTTCTCAACCTGAAAATATCATGAAAATTAAACAGAAATAGATGTAAGACATTTGTGATACGATTTATGGCAATAGTTCCAAAACTGTGTGAGGCAACATAATTAATCTGAAAAGCATTAAAATAACACTTTTAACATTTTAAAGCTAAAAAAGCTTTCTTAAACATTTTAAAGCTAAAAATGAGGCATGTAAAAAAAATACAATTAAAACATGACGAAAACTCAGGAAAACCATTCATACACAAATATAGCTCAGCAAGACAGGAAAACTTCAGTAAACATGAAACTGCATAATGCACACAAACAAGGCAAAATTAACGAAATAACATATGAAGGAAATTAGTAAAAATAAAACTACATTTGTGGCTATACACACAAGTAACATTTTTATTTTTTAGAAGTTACTTATACATTTTGAAATCGGTTGTCTAATTGTAACTGTAAGGCCTCAAAGCAATTTAAGCTGTTAGAAGGTTGAAGTTTTAAATTGACACCATTTGATTGCACTACATAAGAGCGACTCTAGTATCAACTTGAATTGAATACAGAAAGAATACAGTATTACATATAATGTAAGGGTGCACAATCTACTGCCCAGAACTACTACTAAGGACGAAATGCAACCTTCAAATCCTCAAAGTGTGGCCCCTGGTTTCCAATCAAAAAATATTGGGAAACGCAACAAAGCTATTGAATGAAATTTTATAACTACCATTTAAACAAATTTTAAAAAGTTTTGAAACAAAAACTCCATAACTATAATATTAAAATTCCATAATGTAATAAAGTTTTTGAAATTTTAATTTCTTTTAAAGAAAGTTTTCTTCAACCAAAACAATGCAAAAATGTTCAAGGATTTTATAGATGGATTAGATGTTATTAAAAAAATTACAGATGTTAGTAATTTATTTACAACAAAATGTACACAACTTCACATTATTTTTTTAATTCAATAATATTATGCATATACAATATTCTTTAATGTTAAAGCTAAGTTTGTTATTATTAACATAAAGGATAATCAAAACTAAAGATGATTAATAAAAAAAACGTCTAAAAAAGCTTGCGGATCCATAACACATGAGGAATACGCAATTAAAAGATTGAGATTTATAGAAAGACCTATTAATATATAAAAAGAATATAATAAATAGAAAATGAGAGACATTGTACAGTACTAAGTAAAGACGTTTAAGTGCTATTATTATCAGAGTTAAGAATGCATAACACAAAGTTCCCAACAAAAATTAAAGGATAAATTTAAAAATAACATACATGCATATTTTATAAAAATTACACACTTAAGACATTTGTAAAGTTAGACATAAACATATTATAGTGCGTTTTTAGAAAGACTTCCCACCCTTCTTGCCCTTTGATTCCAATAAATGTGTTTTCTTCGCCATTTTTATAAAAATAAGCTGCTATCCCTTAAAATATCTGCCTATTTATTTATGTTCCATTTAAAAAAAAATTATTCACTGTTTAAATAATAATTACACCCCAGTTAAATTATCTGTGTTATAGATTTATTTCTGATTTCTATTACAAATATTTACTTTGTTAGAATTATTTTCATCTGGTTAAATGTTTACAAATATCTCCTTCTTTCATGCACGTGTGGTGGAGGATATTAATTAATTTTTAAGTGACTTTAAATCTAAAAATCATTTTTTTAAATAAAAATCTTTTTTTTAAATAAAAACCTTTCTTTTTAAATCAAAACCTTTCTTTTAAAAAAAACTGCACTCTTAAATGTTAATTTTATCATAATTTTCAGTTTAAATTATATAAAGAAGCTTTCATGTTGCTTAGAAATTAATCTTTTTTTCTTCTTTTTTTTAAAGAAAACATTTACGCACAGATATTGTCTTTTAGCATACCTTTAATTATTTTTATAAACTACAAAAGTTTCTCTTATTTTGATAATCAGAGAGAATTACTATTTAACAAACACATAAAATAGCATTGGAAGGGAATTTAAAAATTGTTGAGGATAAAATTCAGTTATTATATAATATTATACATTTTGATAAATTTTAACAGTGTTGTGTGTGTCCTTTCAAAACTCAAAGGGCCATTTTCTGAGTAAAAAGGGCACTGCCCTTTTTTATTTCTAGGGAGAACTCTGTATATTAATTTTAAGAAATACTGAAATACAGGGCAGTACATAATTCTTTCAAAGAGATAATTCATGCAAATATATCATTTGAGGAGAATATTTATTTAATAAACATAAGAGATTACCAATGACTGCCCAAACACTTCAATAGGCAAAGAAGCTTCTCTGATTTCTTTCTCAGTTAACTTGCTTGAAACAGAATCTTTTCCAATATCAACATCCCTTGGAAAAACTGATGGCTGAGTTTTCTTTCCCCTTACAAATTAAATTCATGTTAATATTTACAGAAGACTTATAATAAATCATGGTTAATGTGTGAAAATACAGCAAATGTTTAAATTTAAAAGTAATTTGATTATCTTAGAAATTATAAGTTAATGTATGGTAGTAAACATTTAATTCTTAATTTCTAAGATGAACACAATAGTTACAACAATCAGTTTTATACAAGAAATTATTCTCCCAACTAGCTCTTTTGTCCCAAACAAACATTACGCGACATCATCAATTTATCTTGAAAATACAAAAGATGAAAATACAAAATTTTAAAAAATTAGTTATTGAAACATCAAGAAGCTTTTCATCATTTCTAACTAAAATAAGAAACAAACAATTTCATTAGTTCATACGAAAACATCAGAACTAATTAAATAGCATGAATCAGCATATCATACATTACATGAAAATGGTGCCCTTGCCCTTACACAATTTACTTATTTAGCACTCTCCATCCTAAAGAGCTACACCTTAGCTCTATTAAGGGACTGTCAGACTTTATAAACAAAGTAGGCAAACTTAGAAAATTAAATTAGGAAGAATTGAGTTTGGAGCATTTGGCACAAAATGCCACTAAAGCACAGCAATGCCTCACATCTGGCAAGCCCGAAAAAGAAGAATTAAATAAGCCGGAAATTCCTTAGGCGACGATATTAATTCAAACTCCTTTAATTTCCTATCTCAGAACGCATAATCCAAATTTCTTAACGAAAACTCTGCCTTATCTTTTTTTGTAATGGATTCATTACAACTGTTCACAAAAACTCAGTCTGAATCGGTCAACTCTGAAACAATTCTAAAGAGGTCATCTGCTTTTGTTCAATATGTCTGGTTGTACTGAACTTGTGTTATTGTAATAAAGTTTGTGTTGCGTATTGTAATAAATATTGTGTTATTGTAATAAAGTTAGCCTTTATTTTTTATGAATTTTTCAATATAATAACTAATTCAACTAACAAGCAATTTTTCCTTAGAACATATTAAGAACGTATAAGATATTTTTATTCACTTACAATCACCAAAAACATCACTTAAAAAAAACATATTTGATAATAATGACAACCATAGATGGATTCAGATAAAAGTATGATTTTCGGCACAATTATAACACTTTCCAAAATGACAGCACGGCAATAGTACTCCCTCCCCGATCTCCCTGCTGTGGGGGAGTGCCATGAAGGCACAGAAATGTAAGGAAATAACCCAAAAAAATTGCTAATTATGAAAATATTTGCAATTGTAAATGAGTTTAACAATGAGTTTTTGATAATAAATGACTGTAAAATACCACCTTGTTTCAGATTTAAGAGAATCTTTTGAGTGGTATTAAAGATAACAAATTATGAAGCATATATAGCTAATAATATTCAGCAACAAGTGCTGCACTAAATTGGAATTATTTTGAATATAATAGTATATAAATTGAAATAGTAATTTATGGTTCTAGAGTAATTGCAAACACATTTTTTTCTCAAATATTTATTCACATTTATACCTAATAGAGACATGATTATATGTGTATTGAATAGATGCAATGTAATTTATATTACATAACACAGAATAGTTCACATAAACATAATACATACAAATAAAACACAAAAGTGTAGCTAAATTTCACATACTTTTTTAAAGCAGGCACAATGTTTTCTTCTGGACTAACATAGTTTCCAACCATTGGTTTCAGCATTTCTGCAGGAGGGTTAGATGAGAATTTGGGAATGTTACCTAAAAATTAATGAAACAAAGATTAATTAATCTTTCAGAACACCAAAAGATTCTACATTTTTTTTACCAGCCATTTGTAAAGAAATGGAAGCAAGTATTAAAAGCTAACTGTTGCTTTGCAACAAGTCATGGCTTGTTATGAGATTATACAAAAGAATAGTTTAATTTTCAGTAATTTGAACATGCTTAATAAGTAATTATACTTATTATTATGTCAATTGAAGGATGCCATTGAAATTTCTACTTACACTGCTTCCCATGCTTAACTATAAACGAATACCAATTCTTTATTCACAATGCCAGGAATAATTGTATTGAAATATTTTTTATCATTTTGTTAATTAAAGCCACTACATTTTACTTTATATCCGTCATTCAATAGCCGACCCAATTCTGAGTTTACGACTATCAATCTTCAACTCCATACCCTGTAATTTTGAACCTAACCCAGAAAACAAGGGAATTCCTAGATCAAGCATTGGGGAAAATGTGGACTTTTTGATAGAACTAACCCACATTTGAGTGACATAGAGAGAGAAACCACAAAAACCTCTCACGGTTAGCAAGATTGCAAGAGGATTTTTAACCCATGATCCGCCTACCACTGAAGATATTTTACCTCAGCACTGTGCAAACTGGGAGCAAAATTTCTATCAACCAGTCACCGCTTGTATTCGAACCTGGGTCACCTCACTGTAAGGCAAATAAACAATCCCCTCAGTCCCCATGATTCAAAATCCATTACATTAGCTAAAAAAGAATCTTAAAAAGTATCTAAAGTATCGTTATCTGTCATATTGTATAAAATATTGTATAAAAAGAAGAAAAATTTAGAAAATGCCATAATTTACAGTATTTCTTTATATTTATTTTAATTTGCATTTAATTTAAATTTACAGTTCATTTATATTTATATTAAATTATTCTACATAAATATATAAAATATTTGTTTATTTTGGTACAATAGGCATTAAATTTTCAGCAAGTCTATGCAAAACTTCTACAATAAAGCACCCTCAGCAGACAGAATAGAATATCTATGGCAAAAATTATTATTTTTATATTAATAGAGAATTCTGCAGGTGCTAACTAATGGAGAATTATACAAAAATCTCCCTTTTAATTTTCTTTTAGCAACTGTTTAATATTTTTTGTTTCATTTCATTCAATGAAATGTGTTCTATTGAACTGAGTAATCAAATATAAAATTTTAAGATAGTTAATATATTTGAAAGTTTTTAAAACTTTTATAACAACTTTTTTAAAAAAAATTACAAATATTTACAATATTAAAATTTGGTTCAATGGAAAAAAAACTAAGTTCAATGGAACATACTCATTGAATAAAATGAAACAAAAAAATAGTACAAAATATTAATTTCGGACTACTTTTTAATATATAAGTAAAGAAATTTTAAAATATATAAATTTAATAAATATACTAGGAAATTGCAATCATATAATTTTCCATAGGTTAACAAAGAAGCAACCTGATATTCACTCTGTCTGAAAATGACCCTTAATACTTCGTACATCCTGTTTTTTTCCTGTTCTCCCTGATTTTTCTATTTTGTGGCCACCCTGAATCATATAATTCTCCATAGGTTAAACAAGAAGAAGAAGAATACGTTTTCCACCTGAAGATGGCCCTTAATACTTCATAAATCCCTTATTTTTGCCATGGTCACCCTGAATCACATAGTTCTCTATAGGTTAATAGAGAAGTGGAATATTTTTTCTTTCTGAAGATGGCCCTTAATATTAATATGCCTGGTTTTTCCCAGTCCTCTGGCAACACTGAATCTCATGATTCTTCATAAGTTAAACGAGAAGAATATTTTTTCTGTCTGAAGATGACCCTTAATACTTCATATATGCCTCAATTTTCCCTGTCCAGTGGCCACCCTGAATCATATAATTTACCATAGATTAACAGATATGAAGTAGAATATTTTTTTCTGACTGAAAAAGATTTTTAAATATTTCTTATACTAAATATACTTAATGAAATCATGTTAATACTTTGAATACTAAAAATATGAGAAAAAAACTGCTTCACATATATATGTAGATATACTTATTTTCACATATTAAATATCCTTGATAATTTTTTAAGGAATTAAGGAATTACATAAAAAATCAGTAAAACAGTATGCCTAATTTGTCATAGCAGTTTTTTATTAGAAGGTTACATAATTATTTACAAAATTACAACAAAAATAAATAGTAACAATATTTGAGAATGCCAATATGTAAGCAAAATAGAATAAGGGTTTAAGAATACATAAAAAAATTGGTTATGGATGATAAAAAAGAGTTTTAAAAAAAGATACAAAAGAATCATTAAACAGAGGTTTTAGAACAATTTAAATAACTTAATTTTGACTCACCGTCTTCATCATTTTCTTTAATAACTTTCTAAAATAAAAAATAATTTGAAATTTCGATATGACAATATCCATATAAGTACTAGTTGGAAAAATTTTAAATGTACATACCCCATCAATTTCCATTAAATGAGAAATATTAAGCCTTTTATATGTATCAAGCCTAATTTTTTCAATTTCTTCTTTTTTAACGTGAGCCAGATCAAAATCTTCCTTTTCTATAGCATTTTCTTTCTCGATATCCAGCTTTCCTAGTTTTTCACCAATCTATAATGTTTAAGACAGGTAATGAATTAACAGAAATTAAGACTTGAAATTGAAAAATTTTTATTCAACAATTTTAAAAGTTCAAATTTTTATTCTATAAATTGAATAAATGAGTTTTATAAAAATTTTAGGACATAGATGAAATAAACTACTTTAAAAAAATTTAGTGCAAATATTTAAGTTAAAAGTAAAAAAGTGTAATTTACGCAAAATTCGATTAAGCAAGAAGTACATTTTAACTGATGTGGAAAAAGAAGTTAATATAAAACACATTTCTGCATTAAAGAGTGCATTACAACACTTCAAATGTGTTTCACCTTTATAGCAGTTTAATTTAAAGTATTAAGTTTTTAACTTTAAAAAAAATAACAAGAATCACACGAGTACAAATATACATAGACTAGCAAATTCTTTACATAATAAGACAAAGAAATCTTAGAAACTAATTTTTCACTTCAAGTTAATATTTTGTGAAATTTACAATAATTTTTTCTAAATTTTCAAAAACAAAACTATGAATTGTTATGTTACACTTTAAAGTAATAAAATATTTCAAAACCATATGTATAATTCATAATTAAAAACCATATTAACGTTTTTTAAGTTAGAAGCTTCTTTAGGTTTGATATTTGTTTCATTTTTTACACCAGACTTAACCAACAATTAATTATACAACAGGACTCGACCAATAATAAATTAATTACATATAAAAAGTAGCACTTAGATAGTTTTATAGTCTATCAATTAAAACAGTAAAATGCTTTAGTAAATTAAAAAAAATGATAGATTTTGTCATTGTTTTGTATGATTTTGTTTTAAATTATTTCGAATTTTTTAATTTTTTACACCCTCTATTTAAGAAATAATCATTCAAACAAAACTCAACCAATTATAAATTCAACAAATAGATTAAATAAGATTTATAATTAAATACTAGAAAAAAATTTTACTAGAATAAAAGAAAACGTAATTCCTTGCTAACGGTGAACAATTAATAATAAATTTATGAACAAAATACTATATTTTTAAAATTGATTGTATAAAGAAAGAAATGATAAATTTTTTTTTAGAATTTTATCATTTTTCATAAAAATACTTATAAATAAACAAAAGAATTGCATAATGAAAAATGTACCTAATTTCTGATAAATAACATAATTAATAATCATAATTTACCTATCTCTACAAATAATTTTTTTAGCCTTCAATTTTACAATTTTAGGAATAGACTTTTATAATTACAGTAATTAATTCAACATTAGATTAAGAAATTCAAATTATGAAAATACAATACAGAAGAACTCACAACTTTTATAGTAGATATTTTAGGCACATAATATTTTTAAAATTAGAATTAGCACTGAGAAGTGCTACAATTTTATTTAGAGAAACCAAACTACTAAATCCATACATTAATAATAAATTACTGCTTATTAATGATCCCTCAAGTGATACAGTTGGCAACTGAAAATGTAATAATCCGGTCACTAAATTGAAAGTTATGTTAAGTTTTGATTATGGTGCACTAGCTTTACATGCATATAAATAGCAGTTCCATGCAAATAAAACTTGTTAATGTGCAATAAATTGAAAACTTAAATAAAATATAATAGCAGAATTATGATGTAAAGAAGAATTGTAATTTGCAAAATAATGTGAAAATGTAAAACTGAAATTGGTTTTATTTATGAGCATTGTTACTTTCAGCAATTGGTTTTGAGCATATTTGAGTTTCTTTGCATACACAAATCGATCATCTAAAACAAATTCATATATTTAAAAAATATGATAACAATGTAAAGAAATGGGATTTAAGCTAAAAATAATTCTGTAATATGTTAACAAAACATACAACTGAGTCATTAAAGTGTTATAAAATTACTAATTTATTAAAGAAACAAATTTTTCATAACATTAGAGTAATTAATACTACATGTACAGTGAACAAAAAATGCCCCACATTGAATAACTTTTGATCTAATGATTGGATCTTCACATTCTAGGACTCCATCTTAATGATTAATCTGCAGTAATTAATTAACATATTTGAGGTCACCCACTTGAACCTTTAAGATTAAGTCCTAGAACATGAGGATGCAATCATTAGATCAAAAGTAATTCAGATTGGTCCGCTTTTTTATTCTGAGCACTGAACAAGAAAAAGTTTCTCATTTTTGTAGTTGACTTTTATATTATCACTAAATTTTATAAAAGACATGATTTTAAAAAGAACTACTATGCACAAAGTTAAACAACACTGATCTTAAACTAAACAACTGAATTTCAAGCCAGAATGAATAAATAAACAAATAAAATGTAGTACCATGTTTATAACAATTTGTAAAAAGTGGGGGCTAAAAAATGTGAATTTTGTATTGAGAAAAATGCTTAAAATAGCTTCTATTTTTATAAGTTTTAAGACAATACGTATGATTCCTTTTCGAAACTGCTTCGTCCAGAGTATTTACGGCTGGAGAGATTAATTTAAGAAAGAGTTCTATGAAAAAAGTTAAAACATGTGTCAAAATAGCTCATTTAAAAAAAAAAAAAAAAAAAAAAAAAAAAAAAAAAAAAAAAAACAAAATAAAAAAAAAAAAAAAAAAAAAAAAAAAAAAAAAAAAAAAACCTACAACAGTAAGTCCGGTTTATATGGCCTGGTAAAAAGAATCAACAACATAGGAACAAGCTGTTTGTAAAACTCAACGTAATGGGTGCAGAGAGCGAAACTGAGGAATGCTAATGCTATAGTAGTCATGACTATTTCTAGTCATAATTTTTCACATCTGTGTAGTTTATGAAAAAACCTTGAATATTTTTGCATTTTAATTTTTTTGCTCTAATTATTTATATTAAAGTGTGTTAAACATATTTTGATTATATAAGCAAGTGGATTTTTGTCCTATCTGGCTATTTTGTTATCTGGCTTACATTTCCACCACATTAGTTCAGATAATCAGATGCCTACTGTACTATGTTCATAGCAGTATTTTTTGATATATATACCTGAANAACATAAATTTTGGTTTAAAAAAATGTCCTCATGAACTGTTTTTCCTACAATATTTTGACGACATTATAAAGATTCCATTTTATCACAAAAATGGTATTTTCTAGAGGATTTCAGATTTTAAAAATAATGTTTTGATTAAAGATTTTTAGTAAATAGTAAATATTTGAAATGCAACAAAAAAATTATTTTAATGTTTTAATCAAGTACAAAATTTCATTGAAATTGAAAATTAATTATGCATAAATTATTTTTTTTAACATTATTCAGCTTTAAGTAAAATTAGTATAGAATTTAATTATTCATTTTACCTGAAATAGATTTTTGTTTCTTCTTGTCAAGAGCTCTGATGAGTTGCGCAATTTCCACATCCACATACATGTTAAAGGGCAGCTCTTCATATTGTGTGATATTCTGAGCCCTGGAAATTTAAAGTAAAATTTGATATTAAGATTTATAAGAATTTAAACAATTTCTTTTTTAAAAATTTGTAAAAGCCATATTAATGTAATAATCACAAATAAAAATTTTTATGAGTAAATAGGTGATTTGCTTTTAGTACTATTTATTTAAAAATATTGAGCAAAGTAAAATAAAATTTAGAAAAAAAACACTTAACAAATTTAAATGGGATAATAAATGATAATGGGATAATATGGGATAATGGTGCATAATTTTAAAGCATAATATTTATTGATGAAATGGAATACCTGTTAGTGATACCATGTTCATCTGCCTGTAAGTAAAAGTCAAACATAATCACAAAACAATTTAAACTACAAAAAAAAAAATATATTCCAAATAAAAAGTTTTAGAATTCAGTTTGAATTATTCCTCTTTATTTCATTGGCCAAATCGATGAAATTAAATTCTGTAGAAGTATATCAAGTTAAATATAATAAAGCTTTTCTACTGTTATTGAGAAATTTTCTTTTAGTTACTTATAATAATGAAGAAGTTTTTCCAAAGTAATTTCCATGGTAAAAATTTCAATATAAAATGATTTCCAGGTAACTGTCTAACATAATACTGTTTAAAGCTTAAGTTATTTCCATAGAAATAAAAGAAAGGCAAAATTATTTAATGAATTTCTGAATTACTGTCTAACACAATTTGGATTCCAAAAGCATTTAATATTTTAAAAAATGAAGAGGAAAAAAGGATTAAAATTAAATCAATAATTTAAAATGGAAATTTAAATTTATTTTATGTTAATATTACGAGATTAACTTTAAAAATAATTAAATTAAGCAATTTTCAGTTTGAGCTTTAGAAACTACCATGCAGGATATTAAAGTGGATATTTTATTAGGTTAAATGAGTCATTCTCACAAAAAGGTGATTTTTTAAGTTCCTTAGTAATAAATATTAGGAAATACAGCAGATTTCTTAATATTTTTCTTCATAATTTTTCGTAAAGTTCTAACTAACAAATCATGTGCACTTCTGCTAAACATATTTAATATTTCATTCTTATTTTTTAATAAACATAACTTCAAAATCCCCTCCGTGGACGTCCCTACGTCTGTGGCACAAAATAATTTTTAATAGCCGTTAAACAATTTAAATGTAATTTTAATGATTTTTGCAGTTTTACCTAGTTAAATGTTTATAGTAACTTTTTATTTAATATTTTTTTAAAAAAAATTTATTTTTATAAAATAAATGACTAGTAAACTTTGTCCATCAAAAATGAAATCTCCCTCCATGGACAATTAATATAGTTCGGTAAATATGCAATAAAGGGCAGCATATGCGAAATCCCTATAAGACAGCTGCTGGGAAAGGTAACCATTCCATTTTCTAATGTTAACTATCAGTTGTTTTTGTTCTCTTTGGTGTCAGTTTTGGATTGTTGTGTTCAACTGGGGTTTGGCAAAGTTCTCACCGTATACTCCGTGGACATCATAAAGAAGGTAAGAGAAAATTATTTTATTTTTGATAGATGAATTTTAGATTGCAAAAATAGTATATTTAATAAAAAGAACTGCCCCATTTTTGTAACTTTAAAATTAAAAATCAGTAAAATTCAAGAACTAGTTTTTGTCTCCTCCGTGGACATAACAAGTCCACGGAGGAGAAGACACAGTCAATGGAAGAGACAATGTGTTAGATAACCATAATACAATTTTAATAATTAAGAAACTATTTTCTTTTAATTGATATTTTTTAAAATGGAACAAATGTGTTAATTTGTTTGTATTTTTAAAGAAAATCAATTAAGTTTAACTTTTTCTTATCGGAGAAGTAAATATTGGCAATTTTTCTAAATAATTTCTGTGATGTTTAAAAATTTTTTTCTCTTCAAATTTTAGGAAAAAAATGGCAAAACCGAAATGTAAGAAAAGAAAGCAATCAAATGTTCAAATGCAAAGGAGAAGGGAACAGAAAAAACTTAGTATGAGACAAGCTAGACAGAAATTAAAAGAAAACCCTATATTGTTTGAAGAAAGTAAAAAAAAAAATTTAAAAAAAAGAGCAAGAAACTTTAAAATCTGTATCAGAAAAAGATTTAATAGAAAAATCGTGATTAAATGTACTTAAATTTTTAGAAATTGATAGAACAAGCCGTTTGTGCCCAGGAAAAAAAGAAACAATAACAAGAAGAAAAGAGAAAAAACAAAAACGTTATTTGGATGACAGTATGTTTAACTTGCATAAAATGTTCATAAAAGAGTATTCGCAACACTCAACTTTCCTGTGGAGTCTGAATTTTTATTTCAATAGTCTTTACATTTTAATTTATTAATAATCAGTAAGAGTTACTTAAAAAATTGTACAACTAGGTTAAAAATGGATGTTTCCTTTCATAGCAGCATGATTAATCGGAAGTAGCTCTATCTCTAATAATGAAATATTTTATTATTTACTTATTAATGTTAAACTCATATCAGCTGTACCCAATAATTAATGAATTAGTCTTCATTGACATTTTATATTTTATAACATAAAATGTCTCCTCCGCTGACCATTACATCTCCTCCGTGGACAAGGCAGAATTTAAATATTTTAAATCTTGTAAAAAATAAAATAGAAAACTTGACCATTATTATAAAGCCATATAACAAAAATAAATAAAGGCATTTATGTAATTTTTATCACTTTTTTAATTACTTTAATTTAAAAAAATTGTTTAGTCTATTTATACCTTCTCAGTGAGAATGACCCAAATCGTGTACTAAAGATTTTGCAGAGGTGCCTCCTTATAATACTGCTTCAAAGAGCAAACAAACAAAAATCGTAAGACTGGTTTTGATTGCTTTAGTTTAATATTGGAATGGCTATAAGGACTAACAGATGAATAGTATGTATTTCTTAATGTTGTTAATGATTGGAAGAAAATTGTAAACTGTTGGTTATGTAAAATATTAAAAGATGAAACATAAGCTGATCATGATAACAGCAACTTTTTAAGCAATAAGTTTATTTGTCTTGTCAAAAGCTAAATATTTGGATTTTAACATTGATTATGAAACTAAACATCAACATTGTTGAAAACATATATGAAGAAATGATTCGTAAGAAATAACAGATAAAGACATAAAAGCATTTATACTTCAGTTCACAGATAGAGCTAAAAAAATATAAAAAAAACAACTGATATTTTGTAAAAGTTGCTCAAAACATATCTTAAGAATTGTTTCAAATGTCTTTTACCTAAAATAAACAACCAAAATTGTTGAATATTTTTATGAATTATTTTGGCAAGATAATTTTTTAAATTACTAAATTTACTTATTTATTAGGGTCATTCTCACAAAAAGGTGATTTTTTAAGTCCCTGATTAATAAATATTAGGAAATACACCAGATTTCTTAATATTTTTCTTTATCATTTTTCTTGAAGTTCTTAACTAACAAATTATATGCATTTCTGCTAAATGTATTTAATATTTCATTCTTATTTTTTAATAAACATAACTTCAAAATCCCCTCCGTGGACGTCCCTACGTCTGTGACACAAAATAATTTTTAATGGCTGTTAAACAATTTAAATGTTATTTTAATGATTTTTGTAGTTTTACCTAGTTAAATGCTTTTCATTTAATATTTTTTTAAAAAAAAATTATTTTTATAAAATAAATGACTAGTAAACTTTGTCCATCAAAAATGATGTCTCCCTCCGTGGACAATTAATATAGTTCTGTAAATATGCAATAAAGGGCAGCATATGCGAAATCCCTATAAGACAGCTGCTGGGAGGGGTAACCATTCCATTTTCTAATGTTAAATATCAGTTGTTTTTGTTCTCTTTGGTGTCAGTTTTGGATTGTTGTGTTCAACTGGGGTTTGGCAAAGTTCTCACCGTATACTCCGTGGACATCATAAAGAAGGTAAGAGAAAATTATTTTATTTTTGATAGATGAATTTTAGATTGCAAAAATAGTATATTTAACAAAAAGAACTGCCCCATTTTTGTAACTTTAAAATTAAAAATCAGAAAAATTCAAGAACTAGTTTTTGTCTCCTCCGTGGACGTCCCCTCCGTGGACATAACAAGTCCACGGAGGAGAAGACACAGTCAATGTAAGAGACAATGTGTTAGATAACCATAATACAATTTTAATAATTAAAAAACTATTTTCTTTTAATTGATATTTTTTAAAATGGAACAAATGTGTTAATTTGTTTCTATTTTTAAAGAAAATCAATTAAGTTTAACTTTTTCTTATCGGATAAGTAAATATTGGAAATTTTTCTAAATAATTTCTGTGATGTTTAACATTTTTTTTCTCTTCAAATTTAAGGAAAAAAATTGCAAAACCAAAATTTAAGAAAAGAAAGCAATCAAATGTTCAAATGCAAAGGAGAAGGGAACAGAAAAAACTTAGTATGAGATAAGCTAGACAGAAATTAAAAGAAAACTCTATATTGTTTGAAGAAAGTGAGTGAAAAAAAGAGCAAGAAACTTTAAAATTTGTATCAGAAAAAGATTTAACAGAAAAATCGTTATTAAATGTACTTAAATTTCTAGGAATTGATAGCCGTTTGTGCCCAGGGAAAAAAGAAACAATAACAAGAAGAAAAGAGAAAAAACAAAAACGTTATTTGGATGACAGTATGTTTAACTTGCATAAAATGGTCACAAAAGAGTACCCTTAACACTCAAGTTTCATGTGGAGTCTGAATTTTTATTTCAATAGTCTTTACATTTTAATTTATTAATATTCAGTAAGAGTTACTTAAGAAATTGTACACTTAGGTTAAAAATTGATGTTTCCTTTCATAGCAGCATGATTAATCGGAAGTAGCTCTATCTCTAATAATGAAAGATTTTATTATTTACTTATTAATGATAAACTCATATCAGTTGTGTGTGCCCAATAATTAATGAATTAGTCTTCATTGACATTTTATATTTTATAACATAAAATGTCTCCTCCCTTGACTATTACATCTCCTCCGTGGACAAGGCAGAATTTAAAATATTTTAAATCTTGTAAAAAATAAAATAGAAAACTTGCCCATTATTATAAGGACATACAACAAAAATAAATAAAGGCATTTATGTCATTTTTATAACTTTTTTAATTACTTTAATTTAAGAAATTTTTTTAGTCTATTTATACCTTTTCAGTGAGAATGACCCATTACTTATATACTCTCAATTTTCAGATGTTAAACAATGTGGTAAATAATTCCCGAGACCTAAATTAAGTGAGAAAACTTAAGCAAACTTTGTAATTAAAATATCATACCCTTAAATTTACAGAATTAACAATGACTCATATTAGCCATACAAAAAATATTTTATGTATATACCGAAGCTAACTGAGAATAAATTTTACCAAATGTCGAGCTTTGATTGGGCCTCCATCAAGTATAGCTTCCCCTATAACGTTGACAGCGATGATGCCGACCTGTAAAGCACAATGAGCAAAAAATAAAAGGAATAAATTTCATATTGCTTTATATATGACATGAAAGTTAAACAATAAATTTTCAAACTGTTTTTCAACAACCGCTAAACTCAAATTTTTCTCAAACTATTAAAATTTATCATCAATTAATGTATTCATTGTTTTATAAGACTGAATAAGTAGGAAATATTTCTTTCCTTACATTTACAAAAACACAAACACAAAAATAAGGAAAATACAGTTATGTAATTTATTATTTTAAATTTCGTGTTTTTTTTTTTTTTTTTTTTTTTTTTTTTTTTTTTTTTTTTTTTTGTCTTTTTTTTTGTCTACAGAATGTTTTGAGAGTAATCGAAGAAAACCAGGAGGAAAAAATGTCAACTGTTTAATATATTTTTAATAAAGTTTATAATACATTTAAGGAACATTTATCGAAAACATTTTGAATAAAAATTAATTCAGAATTATATTTAAACATATTCCGTTTAAAGCTTTAAATATAAATTACAATATCATTCTTTAATTAACAATCAAACTCGGTTATGTTCTGAAAGGTTCCCCGAATAATTCATTGATATTTTACTTAAATATTCAATGGAAACAATCATACAAATTTGAACAAAGAGTAAATAGAGAAAGAATAAAAAATTTATAAATTTGGTGTGCAAAACAATTGAGAAAGAGTTAAAAATTCCAAAATTTTGCATGCAAAATAATAGGATTTTAAATTGAAACTTAATTTCAAGTAAATTATATTTAAAATATATTTGCATTATTTCCACTTAAAGTTAAGTAATACTATTTTCTAGCATTGTATTTATATATGTTTTTAGTAAATAATAACTTTGTTATCAGTGAATGACAATAATTATCTCAAACCAAAGTAATGTCATTTTTAAGTCCTTGATTTTACGGAGAAAAAAATCTATAATTAAAATCTGTAAAAAAGAAAAATATTTTATTTAAATGAAATTTCTAATTGGCATTCTATGAAATGTAAGACTACCAACAATCAGAGATCAAACGGTCCAGAAATTTTTACATGCCCAATTTAGCATGGTAGTTTATAAAATACAAGCGAAAAGGAAACTTTTACATACTCAAGTCTTTTTCAAATGCTTATTAATGAAAACATATGAATGTACCTATTGTTTCTAATTTTGTCCAAACAATGTCATAAACAATATCTACATCTGCACTATTTGAAGTAATAATCAGAAGTATAAACATTGACCATGAATAAGCTTGGATGAACTAAATGCAAAGCATTATTAACAAGTATAATTATTATAAGTATAAAGTATTTTCAGCAGGTCCATGCCCTTCAATAAGCCCACTTCCTTCCAACAGAACAACCAATGTTCTAGTTCCTTTGGTAAAATAATTGTTACAAAAAATATTTTATTATGTTTTTTTTTTATTATTTAAATAGGCATTATTACCTAACATGAAAAAGTCTTGTGTATGATTAATAATTGTTATTCTTTAAAGATTCAGAAAACTGATAAAATCAGATATCAGAAACAATATTTATTAGTAAATAACACAATAAAGAATTAATTCTTTAATATGTTATTTTGTTAATAAATAGTGTAACAAAAGTTAATAAATAATTTGTTTTCTAGAGTAAGAAGAATAATTTGAAATTATACATATAATTAAAATACAGAATATTAAATAATTAAAAAATACAAACCTGATTACACAGATTTAGTTTATTTACATGGTTTTGATGAAGAATAATCTTCACAAATTTGGCAATAATATCTAAATTAGCAGATCTGAATTCCCTAGCTTTGAAATTGGTCCCCAAGTTGTCGGATAATGGAATATCACTAAAAACAAATGGCATTTTTAATTCAGGTTGTATACACAACTGTTAAACATATTTATTAACTAAAAGCAGAGTTCCAAAATGGATATTTATTCAGTAATCCTTTTTTTTTTTCAATGACATGCATTTCAGCAATTAATATGAGAGAAATAAAAATATGAGTTTTAAAATGAATTAATTTTATTTCTGACTTGATAAAAAAAAAATTATTCTTATTGTTCATCAGAGAAATAAATCTTATTGTAAGAAAAAAATAATTCAAACAGAGCTTGAAGTTCACACAAGCGATTCCTATCTATTTTAAAACTATTATAACATCAGCTAATAATTCTACAGCCAAACAAATGGGCGCCACAAATCCAATAAGAAGGGGGGGGGGAAATGCTTTCATTAGATTTTAAGGCTCTGTATTAAAGAAGCTATATCAACTAAGATAGAATGCCTCAATTTTCAAAAAAGTTCTTCATGTAGATTTATTAAATATTGCAAAACAGAATATTTTTTCAAAAAATACAACTTTAATAATAATAACTTTTGCAGCAAAATAAAAGTGACAAGAAATTAAAATGCGTGCATAAAATATGTAAAACAATTATTAATTTGTACTATCTCAAAAACTTAATTATTTAGAAATCAATAAAAAAAATTCTAAGAAATTTGATTAAAAATTATGCAGTAAGTTATATTGGAGATTTATTTATTTTGAAAAACAAATTTTTTTGATAAAATTAAGCAAATATAATTAAATTAAACAAATACTAACCCTTGTTTTTCCCACGAAACATTTTGAAGCAATTCAGGCAGAGTGTTTTTCACATCACCCACAAGCAGTTCAATTTTGGAAGCTGAAATAAAATGCACAATAAAAAAAATGAGTGACCAGTAAAAAATGACTAATTAAACTAATATAGAAACATACTAAAAATAATTAAAGCAGTAATAGTAATAGGAAAACTAAAAAACATAGAGAAAGTTATATTACCAATAGAAAATGGATGTGACAAAAGTTGAAATTTGCACAGTTTTGACCTCATTTCCAATCGTAAGATGATTACTTGGGGATAGGAACAAAATCTACAAAAGTTTTGATAAAAGTGATCTCAGGGGAATTTTATACATTTTGATTATTTAATAAAATCGTAATTAAAAATAAGAAAAGTTTTTTTATCAAATTATTGTAATAATCAAGCAAGAATTTTATGTTGGGGTGAAGGAGAAAGGGAAAAATCAGGATTTTTAAAAGGATACACATAAATTTATTTATTTTAAAAAAGCTGAATAGAAATTCTGTATTTTTAATATCACAATTAATAATATTAAATGTTATTAATCATATTCACGATACATTATATTGTATAAGATTTTAAAAAAAGGTATTAATACATTTTAGAGGATGAGCAAAAAATCGCAAGACTAATATAAATTCCGGTGATGCTTAATTAATTGTGGTAATTGGTAATAAGAGCTGTAGAAATAAGAACTTTAAATACTAGTATAGGTATGGTGGTAATAGGTTTTTTCACATCCTCCCGAAACAGATAAATAATGATTTTTATTAATCATGAAAAAATTTATCATTTACTGAATTTTTGCTTGCTTTACTGTTTAAGAATGAACATAAATACGAGACAAAATAACATGTCTTCTGTACTAAGTAGTTTCAGGCCAGGATAGGACAGGAGTTCGAATCCAAAGAAACCATGTGCATTAAATGGTGACTGGTGCATGTTAAATCAGTCCAGATCACAAAGTTCTCCAACTTCCCATAACAAATGATGAATACCTCTATAGGTACTGAATTGGAGATTGATCGTTCTCTTGTTCAGGTCAAAATTAAGATCTGTGGATTAATGAATAGATGTATGAATGGGTCCGTCCTGTAAATCAGGCTGCGACATTTGTGAGTGTGGCTGAAATCGTATTCTTGGTCATAAATAATGACACTGAAAAACTAGAAATGCACCCTCTACGTTAAATTTGCTTGGTTTCCCAAGCAGGCTTGCTAGCATGGCAAGCGGGCAATAGAAACAACAACAACTAAAGTAGTTTCAATTCTAAAGTACTTTTAAAATAAGTTTTTCATCTATTAAGAATTGAAAGTGTTCATTCAACGGTAACTGATGACATTAGATGATTTTATCAATGCACCTATTGCATACTAGGCAAAAGCTTTTGGACAAAATATATTTCAGAAAGATATAAATTAAAAAATAAATTCTTCCTAAAAAAATAAAATGAAATTTTTGTTACCCTAGATTTTATCTACTTTGAAAGAAAAACACTAGAGCCAAGCTTTTTTGAGTAAATTTTCTACTTCGGGCAATTTTTCTTGCAGAATTTTCAAAAATTGCCAAAATGTTCTATTATTTTGGGGTAGGTGCCAATATGGTGATTTTCCCAATATTAATGCGATGGTTTGAAATCTGGTAGAAATTTACAATAGAGTGCTCCTTTTGTAATTATAAGAATAGTGATACAAAAATAGGAAAATATGTACAGTAAAAGTTCCAAGTTACAGTGCACAATACAAGGGGCGCTCTATTGTACACTATATCCGTCAAAATATTTTTTTTTACACAATTACTAAATTTACCTAAGGGAAATAATTTTAAAAAAAATTAGAAACTTATGCAAAAGTTAAATGAAAAAATTTCTTGCGTTAGCCAGCAAGGGTTGAACAGAAAACATCTTTTTTTTTTTAAATTTTACCATCAGTTGTGGCTTACTTTGGTGACATCCAACCTCTAGCAGTTGGGCGTTGATTATTTAATTCAGCCGCTGGATAATAGTCATCTTCACCCGTAATTTTTATAACAGAAAAAGGTATTCGCTTGATCATATTTTAATTTAGAATCAGTCCCAAATATTCAAACGTACAAATTATCTGCCTTACTAGCGACTTCGGAATCACCAATCACAGCATAATGCTATAAAATATATTTAATAATCCTGAAAGAAAATAAATTACAAGTAATATGTTTATCGAAATAAAGCTATATTTAATATATTAATGGGAAGAAACTTTCGTTTTCTACCGGTTACCAGGTGCATTTGTTAGTAAACAAAACAAAGATTACGAGCATGGTTACGGTTCGTTAGTCCCACAGCTGTCACGCAAAACTTTTTGTTACAGTTGAATCAGATAAATTATAAAATGCAAAAATATATGTTTCAAGAATTTAGGTTTTTCATGAAAAATATTTTCAAAAATTTTCATCAGCTTATTTGATTCAATTTTTATGAAATAAAATTGAAAAGTTTTATTCGAAACCCTTATGAAAAGTTTAATCGTTTGCCACAAGATGGCAGCACTACTGTGGCTAAGCATATCAATCTTAATTTAAAAAACTCGCTGATCAAGTTCTCGCTTGTATCTCAGAATCAGCATACGTGATTTTCTTGCATTCAGTGTGATTGATTTGACCAAGTACAAACCCCATTACAGCGACCCTCCCATTATAACATGATGCATGAAGTCCCATTTGCTATTCAATTGACACAATGTCATTTTAATGTCCATTAAAACATCCACAATCAACCGCTCATTGCTTTACTTTGTGGAGACCAAAATTCAGTCATTGAAATAAGAATAAGTTTCAAAAAAACTATTTAAGCCATTTTTTCCATTGATGTTACTACACAATAAATGTAAAACATCTTGAATCCCCTTTGAATGAAGATGAACAAGGATTTTACTAAATCTTAGGTGGAAATAGTTTATGATGCATAATTCATGGTATTGTAACAGGTATTCATTGTACTTATGCCTAATTGTGCGTTTGGCAATACTATCCTTTTCTTTCTTCTAAAGCTCGAAAACAATACTTGATTGCTTCCAGTAAGATATTTTAGAAATACCAAATGCGTAAATAGGTAGGGGCTAGTGTTAGAGTGCAAACAGTTTGTTTTTTTCAATTTGCCGTAAAAATTGCTAATCATTAATTTTAATAAATCTAGTATTTCTTTAATTAAAATTCAAATCTTATCTTTACTTTGAGTAATACCTTAGCTAATTTGTATGCATACTTTTTTTAGCAATTTTAAGCAAGACGGATGCTTTTGCCCTAATTATCATTAATTATTATATTATATACATATATAAACTTTTACTTTTATATGTCTATAAATAAAATGAACATTCGCTAGCAACGCGTTATTTCGATTTCTTTTTTCATTTATTTATTCTTTTAATTTTAATCCAGCATTAAATAAGTTTAAATTATTAAACGTAACCTGCTGAAAAAAACAGCATTAAAAGTTACATTAGTTTAGAAGAAAAAAATTTATCGAAGTAATTTTGTAAATTCACAAGGGAAACTCAAATCGAAAAATTTTAAAAGTTGCAATTACTCTTTAATTTTTACCATTGTTTCATCGCATTATAAAGTTCCATTTTAAAGTTTTTGATTTATAAAAGTAAGAATACCAATCAATGTAAAGTTTCTGATACAGCAGCGACAGCAATGGCAATAAATATTAAAAATAATTATAATAATAATAGAAAGGTCTATTTTTCTCTTATAAGTGCGTAAGATTTTACAAGAATAAAGGGCTTTAAACCTGAATGTCTTATCGAAAATAGCTCATATATCATCGCTGATCTTTCATTTTTCAATGTTTATATTATCGTGTGTGCAATCTCCGGACATCTCTCAGTTGAAGAATAAGACGCACATTTTTTTCACGTGGTCAGTCATTCATGTTTTTCATGATTCAGTTCAAAACAATCAAAGCTAATGAAGGATGGTGAATGTTCCACGAAATTTTTATACGGGTTAGTCAGAGGCGTTGAGAGGTAAGGGACTGCCCAGGACAACCTCGAATAAATTTCCCGGGGAGGGGGTGTAATTTATTCGAGGGGATACATAAAAAGGGTACATTAGAAAATAAGGTTGTAGTCGCTGAAATACAGTCGAACCTCTATTCGACGAAGTCGCTAAATCCCGACAATAAGTTCGTTAAATGGAAAATTCGATAAATAGAAAATCACCTGTTGAAATACTTAGACAACAAGAAACAGGCTTTAAATTCATAAACACTATATATAATTAAAGTAGTAACTGATACACCTTTATCTTGTAAACTAGTATCTACTGTTTATTTTATAAATCTTAGCCATGAAAGAAATCTGCATCGAAAGCAAGAATACAGCAAAACATTATCAAGTGTTACACTATCGTGCAGCATACATTTTCAACTAAAAAAAAGCTAAATTTATGTATAAAATTATGCGTTCTTAAGTTTAATTGCTACTGATAAAATCCGGTAATCTTGTCTGAGTTTTTCGTTTGAAATGCAAAAAAAAACAGGGAAAGGGATTTTACTGCTTTCTCTAAAAGTTAAGCAGCTTCGAAAATCAATTCAAAGTCGTTTCCCCCATAAAATCCGTTAACAGGCTTGAAATGTTTTGAAATATTTTGGGAAACAGGGAAAGCGGATGCGAAATAAAAATTCGTAGAATAGAAAATTCACTTCGCCATTTGGAAGTTATTTTGCGAAGAAGTTTCCAAAATGTTCTTAGTTCCTCGAAAAAAATCGCAAAATAGAGAAATTCGCAAAATGGAAGTTCGTTAAATAGAAGTCCGACTGTAATTACAAACCTTATAGAGTTATTGAAGTCCTTTGTAAAACTTGTGAACTTCTCCTGGTTTAAGCCGGAGATTTTCCTCGCATTAACCCCTTTTGTCCCGACTTTATATTTTGAAATGATACAAGAAGTGGTTTTATGGAAAAGGTGGTATAATATATTATCGAAATTAATTGGTTTTTCTACTGTTAGGGCATTCAAAAAGTTTTTGATAGATCAAAAAGTACTTGCTCCTTTTAATTCTAGATCTAGTCAGAAATAACTAAATCTTTGTGGTCTCTGAGAATCTTTTAATTCACCCAGATAAATGAAAATTCTGAAAAAAGTTTCCCACCACAATGAATGTCTTTGAAAAAAGGAACTGTCCTAAATATATGACGCTGGGCGTTAACCGGTTAAGTTGCAGTCAAATTAAATTGTACTCAATCTTATGATTTAACTTCTGAATTAACACGTTCACGCCGGGTGTTGCGCCTGAAAGCGGGACGGAAAAGAGAAAATACTGGTAGAAGAACTATTTCAATATTAGATAATATTCGGGAGGATTCTCAAACAATTCACTGTAAGGAAATTTATCACGGCGAAGAAGCAATTCCATATAAAAATTGCATCCGTTAAAAACAATTGATAGTTATGGATTTTTATTATTCCCGGAAAAAAACTAAAAAAATAAATTTATTTGTTACCAGTTTTTACTCCGGTTCGCCGCCCGATGAGACAATCTAGCGTGACCCGCCAGTGGGTCACCCCGGCGTGAATGTGTTAAAATGATTGTGACTACCTCGACATTCCAATAATTCAATGAAACTTAACAAATATCAAAGTTTATTTACATTCTAAAAATAAGAGGATTGTCTTCAAAAAGCAAAGTTTTCTTAAATAACTAATAACTTTACCGTATTTCTTAAAAAGCTTTCCCCAAATTTGTTACCAGTATACTAAAAACCGCTGTAATTGTAAAATATCCGTGTACCGTACGAAATTTTGAGGCGTGATTTACCAAAATTTTTTAAAGCTTACTACAACAGTTACATGGCCATACTTCCGGAGGGGCAAATGAATTTTTCTTAAAATTGATCACGTGATACCATGGTTCAATTTAAAAGGAAACACTGTTAAATTTAGCATCACATCATGATTTTTATTTTATTTTATAACCGGTGTTGAACAGCGGACTTGGGCTTACGTTTATCAATGTTCCATTTGATTTGTAATTCTGAACTGAACCCAGAAGTCAAGTGTTCTCCTCTAGATCAATCATAGCGAGAAAGTAGCCTTCGTTAAGAACTTTTTGCATCACATGGAGAGAGAAACCCTAGGGCTAGGGTTTGTAACCCACCATGATTCATCTACCACTAATTACGTTTAATTTCAGCACTATGGTTGGAGCGAGCAAGGTTTGAACACTAGCCACCTCTGTGATTCGAACCTGGGTCATCTTATTTTATAGCGAGCGCTCCATTCTCTGTACCATGGCGGCTCCCACAATATGGTGGTCGCCAAGATGCAAGGTAGAATAATTCAAGATGCATAGATTATGGTTCAACTCTGAACTAGTAGGCAAACTTGATTTATACGAGATATATTTGTTTTGAATTTTAGCTTAAAAAGAAGCTCTCATTTTAACGTATGGAAACGTATTTTTAAAGCTCTAATCCAACTCTAAATCAACACCATTATCTTGTTTTTGAATCATTTGCTTATCAGCCAGTAAAGAAGATGTTACGAAGATTTACTATATGTGGTTGCCTTTTGGAATCAACATCCGATAACACATCTGTTTTTATTACTTTTCTTCTTTTTAATGCTTCTTGTCCCTATCGTTTGCACGATATTAAAAACTTATCACTATCTCGCTGAAATTTTGTTATCAGAAAGTTAGACTTCAGACGAGTTAACGTGATTAAAATAACTTACAAAAAGGGTACAACTTTCGGTTCATGAGCGATATATTACTTCGATTGTTTCGCAATGCCTTTGAAGGAGTCTATATAAGGAAAGAAATTTCATTTCGCAAAGCTCTGCCCTAGTTATATAAATTTTTTTTTTTTTTTTGAATGAAAATATAAAAAGTTCACTATTGATAAATGTTAAACCGGACTTGATTGATAAAATCAATAATATGTTGCTGAAATTTTAATAAGTTCGTTCTGTTAACACATTGCTGACCGGCAACTTTTCTGAAAATTATCCCAAGTGCCCGGCTATTGTTTTGGAAGCAGATGTGGAAGTAAAAACAATATAAATAAACTTTAAAATTTTTTAATTTTTAATGTCGTATGATAAAAAGTATAACATTCACCTTTGTGTAATGGTACACCACAAGTTTTGCAAATATATAGGGTTTCGTAAAGTTATAATAAATTGGCAGAGAATTAAATAGTAAAACTTGAAAAGTAAGGAATATTACGCCCACTTTTTAAAATAGTCACCACGAGATCACTGCTAACGAAAAAACGAGTTAAGTCGTGACCGGTCACCAACGTTTGACCGCAAAAACACGAGTTAA